ATACCCATCCATTTGATCCAGTCACAGGGCCAGCAGCGTGTCAGGGCCATTTGAAATGTCCAGCAAACAAACCTTCCTTGCAGAAGAGAGTAATCTGGCTCACAGGACCTCAGAGGATGGACACTTGGTAGCCTCCTGCTAATGTCGTGACCTCCACTGCAGCTGTCTAGAGGGCTAAAGATGTTGTGGCTGATCAGTGGCTTGGGAATAAAACCAGAGGCTGTGTGTTCACCTCCTTGTCCCAGTTTAGTTCATCAAGCAATAATCAGAGCATCCTCTACAGCTGTGCTCACTAACATACAAGGGTATTTACTGTAGGCTCTGGAAGAACAATCAGTTTTAGGCAGGCAGATCAGACATCTTAGTGCTCACCTGGGAATAAGAGGTCTTTTCTTTCCCTCCCCTAGTCCTTTTCCCTCATTTGCATTCACTTTTGGCTTCAAAATAAATTGCTTTAAATCTCAGCTCAGCAAGAGCTAAGCCTGAAAAGCCAGAAGACTACATTCATGAACATTTCCTTGAAGTTCAGGCAAAAGCCAATCTGAGACCTTTTTTCTGAGACTGAGCAAGAAGAGGAGGAGCATTTGGGGGTTGAATAGGAAAGAGAAGTGTGCTTGGAAGGCAGAGATAGAGGAAAAGACAGAAGATAACAAGTTTGAAAAAGCATGGGTCTCGCCCATACAGGTCTAAATTGCCTTTTCACCAATGTCAGTGAAATTCTCCCTTACCTCAGTTAACATTTTGTCCCAAACAAAGCAGCAACTCCTCTCTGTTCTCCATGTTTCACACCAATCAGGATTTTTAGCAGCCAGTTTGGACCAGCTGTCCAGCAGGCATAGCCCAGCACAGCTCCCAGTTGACCTAAAGGAGCTGAGGACGCGACTCCACAGGAGTCCTGTGAGGCCAGGAAAAGAAACTCCATCTGCCAGGAATGGCCCTTCTCACTGCCTTTACACTCCAACAGACATTTTTTCTCCCTTGCATCCTAAGCTTATACATGAGACACTGAAAACCCAAGCACTGCACTAAAAACAACAGGAAGGATTAGTCTGTATAAATTGATCAAGGCATGAAAAATACGATTCCAAAACAGCCTAAGACAAAAACCAAAAAATGTTAGGTCCTTCCATTGTAATAGACCCTTATTTATCACATTGGAAAGGGTACTTTTTAAAGGCAAATGGCCAGCTAGTTCCTTTGATACATGGAGATGCTTCAAGATAGGTATGATATAGAAAACCTAGGCAGAAGATATGTACTGGCTAATCTGACAGTTATCTCTTTTACAGCCAACTACTGTCATTTCAGTCTTTGAGAACTGCCAACTACACTGATAACTACAGACCTAAACACAGCAGAGGAGAAAGCCTTTGTTAATTAAACCAGCATCCTTCATTTTCTTACTGATCTGGCCTCTGCAGAGCTTTCGGAGAGCCGCTGTTGTGTGGCCCTTTGTGCTGGTGATGGACTGCCGCACGTCCCCCCCCCGCAAAGAGCCGCATATTGGTGGTGAGACAGGCGATCCTCATCTGCCGGCTGGATTGCTTTCTGGGATGAAATGTTGCAGTCCTGCCACAAATCAGACTATTAACTCCACTGAAGCACAGCAGATTCCCCCTTGGAGGGAGAAAAAATCTCCCTGAAGGATGCATAAACCTGCTCATTGTCCCATCCAGCTGATACAGGGCTGATTTTCCCAGTGTGGTATCAAGTTCCAGAGGAGCCTATTTATACTGAATTCATCAGTGCTACTTTGTACCCAGAAGAGTTCAGCTCTGTATTTTCAATCAGTTAGTGGCCATCAAACTCTAATGGGGTTTCTGGAACTGTGGGTGCTTTATCCTCTGTTCAACAAGCGTTTCGGGACGCTGAGCCGTTGCTCCGCTAGCTCTGTTCAAGTTGCAGCTCCTCATTTCAGGCAGACGTGCTGTCCTCTCACAGTTAGATATTCAACAAGGAGTGACAAAACTCAGCAGACTTGTGAAAGTGTGAGTCTGGACTCACTTTTTACCATTTCTGATGGCAGTTTGCAGTTCATTTTGCAGATCACTGGCCTGATTCTGCCTACACTAATGCCTCTAGATCATTAGGGCTACTTCCCTTGCTTTGGAGCAGTGCCTCACTAGCAGGGTCTCCTCCTGATGGGCAGTGCTACTTTTTCCCTTCTGGCCAAAGCCATATAGACAAAGCCACTACAAGAAGTTTCATCACCTTCACCAGATACACAAGTGAAGCAGAAGAGAGAAACATGTAACTTGAAGGTAATTAATCTCAGAGCTAAATGAAACAAAAGCTGGTGGAGGGGACTTTGATCACTCATGCCAGCCTTTTCATAATCAAAACATGACAGCTTCACCCCAAACCTAACACCAAAGCATCCCGTGTTTGCTTCTTTGCTCTTTCATAAGTGTAGAATCCACTCCATCCAGCCGCCACTGAGCAGACCTTGGCTACAGGTCCCTTCCTTTTCCCAAAGGATGTCTTTACCACTCAACAGCCATCACCCAAGAACCATCAAAACCAGTTACCCACATTCCTGTGTCTAGCTCAGTTACCCCCTGCCCACAGCTGCAGTTACCAGTGCTGTAGATATCTCCACTAGCTTAGATATGACTGCTGGGATTCACACCCCTTCCAGATCCTTTCTGTAAGTCAGGATTTCTGCAAAAAAAGCAAAGCAAAACAATAGCTAGTCCCTTTGCCTCCTCCTCCACCTTTTGGGTCACTTACCTGGTGAGGCACTTAGGGTTCAAGGAGAGAAGGCAGGGCAGAAGCAGGGAAGACTTCTGTGGATCTGAAGTGATTAAAAAGATTCCTGCCTCAGGACCACTAAGGTCCAAAGGGTTCAATCTCTATTTTATTATTTATAGCTCACTGGTTTTCTTCCCAAAGTCCTGTGGGCTCTTGTGGTTCACAGAGCAACCCTTTTCTATTTTACTTATGCCACTCAGTTCAGTAAATGCCCCCAGGCTAGTCCAAGCCTTGTTAATACCTTCCCCCATGCAACCTCCGGGGAGAAAATAGCTTTTTATCATTAGGTGAAAATGGAACTGCCTAGAATAACAACACAAACATGGGTTTTAGCGTACAAGGAGGGATCCCAGGACTTTTAGTCAGGAACCTGCCAGACTGCTGTCAACCCAGCCAGGGTTGGAGAATTGGCTGTCACCGCAGGGAGAGACGTGAGCCCTCGGCCCAGCTGCTGTACTCCCTGAACAAAGGGGGCAGCAGGAGGATCAAACACAACAGTTAGAGGGGATAAAGCAAAGTATTACATTTTAATTGATCTAATCTTTGGCTCCCAGTGGAATTTGCAGAGATATCTTACTAGAATTACTCAAGTTTTATCAGAGACAGCAATACTGGGAAAGTGCCTTTTGGACGGCAAACCACTCCAGATCTTGAACTGCATTAGCATTGGGACCGGCTGAGCAAAAAGAGCCCCCACAATAGTTTCAAAGATGAGAGGAAAAACTCGGCAGAGAGAGAGACCATGTGAGATGTAAACCCATCCGGGCACACAAATGTATATGAGCACAAGCCCAGGCATATGCATAATGCTGTCTGCTGTGGGGTCCCTCCAGTGTAAAACCTGTAAGTATTTACCGGTGAGAAGGAAATACAGAACCTACAGAGGCACTAGAAAAGGCATCCAAATTACAGTAGCTTTTATCCATCCCCCTCCTCCTCTTCAGAGGTCCATTTCTGGTCTGAGCGCAAGCACTCTGAACATTAAAAAAAAAGAGGGACATGAAAAAAAGATCACCTTAAAATACAGACCCAGATATAAAATACCACATGGGTGGAGCAAGCTAACAGGAGAGATAAAAAGCAAAGACAGTGAGAAACCAGGTGGTTTATCATATTTTTTTTCCTGACATTCTCTGTCTGAGCTGATGACTGCAAGATCTTTGGAGAAGCAGAGGAATAATGTCTGGCTCTGTCAAGGCCCCTCTTTATTCACTGTGGTGAAAGGGTGAAAAAATATCAGGTCTGATAAATGATTCATGGAGCCTTTTCTTCTCCTAATCTGTAAATAAATTTTAAAAAGCAGCTTCTTTTTGATGAATATATTCTGCTGCTCGTAAAAACATGTCAGCCTTTAAACACAACACAGGCACACTCCAGTGTCTCTAGTGTTGCTGTCAGTACTTTGAAAGCCCAAGCCTGGCTCCTTGCGGAGTGCAGGGATGGAGGTTTTGCTGACTTACTTCAGCTGAGGATCTGCCCCTCCGATCCCATGGCACCGGATTCCCGGGCTCCGGTGAAGCCTTACCTCATCTCATGCTTGCACCTTCACTGCTCTGTTCAGTCAGGGAGAGGGTAACATCCTGCAGATTTATGGATACGAAGGCCAGAAAGGACCTTTTTTATGAACATCTCCTATGACATCCTGCATAACAAGCTCTAAATCCCCTCCTCCTTGTTGCATGAGCACTCTCTGACCGTGCACATTTTACTGGCACTGTGTGGCAGATGCTTCTTTTCACACGCTGCTGGAAACAACAGAACTACCCTAACGTGCCCATCACCATGGCATCGCATCCCGTTCCCTGCACATCCTCCTCAGAAACACAGACAGATCGCAACAAAGTGATCAATTTGACCCGCTGGGCCTAACCCTCAGCCCCTGCTCAACCAGGCGCCAAGCAGCAGGTCTTGGAAAGCTGTAACTGCTGTGGTCCACATCGCATGGAAGCCTGGCACCCCTGGACAGACTGCACTGCTGATAGTTATGGGCTCTTTCCCCTCTTTCTACCACCTTTCTTGGGCTTTTTTTTTTTTGCCTTTTATTTTTTTTCCTCCTGTTTCCATTCAGGTACAGATAACAGCAACATCATGGGTGTGGACACATTCAAGCAGCAGAGACCTGCAACAGCCAAAGCACCTCTTCCCGTTCAGCTGGGGAGCTGGTGGGTTTCTCCCTGGGCAGACGGGCCTCAAACTGTCTCGTGACTTTTGTGAGTGTGGACAGGGAAGGAAAGAGGAAAAAAAAAGCATGATTATACAAGGACATCTTTTATTTCAGTACATTCAAGACAAAAAGAAAAGAAAACAATTCAAGAACAGGATGTACCTTCACTCAAGGCTTTATCTCCCCTGCCCCTCTCCATTGTCACCTCTTTCCTTTTACAATCAGAAATTGCATAGAATTTGTTTTTCAATCAGAAAATTAAACTCATCAATGTAAAACCCACGTCTGTACCAAGCAGAGGGTGACCTGCTGCTGTTGCTAGGGAAGTAAATATTTTCCTTACATCAGATCCCAGGCTAATGGTTTTCTCAAATGCTGTACGGCATCATCGCTGCTAGACGTGGGCTGTAAGTCACCCTCGAAGCTGAGGGTGCTCCGTGGGTCACAGACAAGGGGAGCTCGCGAGCCCGGGGCTGAGCTCAGAGTCACTTGTTTGGGAGTGTGCAGAGCACGGGCCGCGGACGCTTTGGGGAGCGACACTGGGCAGCAAATACCACCTCCCTCGGCTGGCGGGAAAGGGCAGCCTTCCCCAGGACTCCCCGCTCTCGCCTGCTCCCACCTCACCTTACTCAAAAGGCTGCCCCACCCGCATCCCAAAAACAGAAAGGAAAAAAAGCAAAAGGTAACCCCAGAACTAAACAAAAGACACAGAACCCCCTGAAATTCCAGGCGTTTCAAGGCCTCTTTGAGTTCACTGTGTTTGTTGGTTGGTTTTTGGCATTTCAATATATATATATCTATGTATATATATATATTTATATATATATGTATTTTAACAGCTCCTCAGATGGACATTCAGCAAATGCTGCTTCTCATGGGGAGCGTGTCCCATCCCACCCTTCCCTTCCTATTTCAGTCCACCTGCCACACTCGGAAAAGGAAGAAGAGTTCAGCACCTGAAACCTGGTGCCTTGGAGACTAGGTCCTGACGTACCCAAAATAAACCAAAACAAAATAACGACTCCTCCCTTCCCATCCCTTATCCACGTCAAATAAAAAGACCCTCCCCCCGCCCTTTGAGAACATTCCCTGGTAAGTCTACATGATGGGGAGACAGCGCCAGCGTCCTTTCTCCTGGCTTGGGTGGAGAAGTTCCAAGAACCGCTCTCGCCCTTGGGTGGGCAATATCTGCTACACCAGTTACCCGCCACGTCCCTCCTTCCCGCCTCGGAGCTGCACGGTGGCACAGGGACAGCCCGGCCGGAGGAGCTCGCTCCTGCTGTGCCAGGTCTCGGCGAGATGCGCGTCCTCTCGGACGCCGCAACCAAAGCCGTCCCTCTGGCCAGGCCTGCGCGTCAGCCCAAAGGTCCGCCTTGCTCTGGAGAAGCTGGGTAACTGCTTTTAATTTAAAAACGAGTTGACATTATACAAGTCCGTGTTCTGTAAAATGGAACAGGACCCTCTCGGCCCACCCCAACACCCCCTGCCCCAGCGTTACTCGGGCTCGCTGCTGTTGGTCGCCTTCTCCCACTCCAAGCTCTCTTCGCTCTGTGCGGGGGAGCCCGCAGACGGCCGTGCCCGGAGGCCCTGAAACCTGCGGCACTCCGGGCACACTCGGATGTGCGTGCACCCTCGGGCGACCAGGGCGGCTTCTTGTGCCAGTCTTTGTGCCAGGGGATCTGGCTCGCCCCCACTGCACAGCTTCCCGTTGCTGAGCGTGGTTGTGCTGCGGGCTCGGCGCTCCTCCGGGATAATGGGGCGAGTCCGTATCATTCCCCCTCGCCTCCGACGAGGGTGGAAACTGTCCTTGCAGAGAATGATGTTGCGCAGCTCCGTCACCATTTCTTGGCACACCGACACCTGGAAGGCAGACCCGAGACATACTGCTCACCTAAGTAAGCTGCGAGCCCAGCAGCGCTGCGTCTGCTCTGGATTCTGATGCCAAAGTGTTACGGACTCGGTCGTTAATCTGGCCACTGGCTTTCGACACCAGTGCTCGGACACTTACGTTTGACTTAGCCCAACAGATTCCACCTCTTGCCAGAGACCCTCCTGTGTTCTGGATCCCCAAATCAACACGAGACCCAAACCTATTGCAGGTAGAAATCCTCAGGTGATCCTGTCTCCAGGAAACGTACCTGGACGTCGCACACATCCTTGATCCCTTCAAAAGCCCTTGGAGCATCCCTACAGCCTCGATCTTAGTAGAAGTGCATGAGAAGCTCGTGCATTTTAGACCTTGCCTAATGCACCTAGCCTTCTCGTGCGTTTGAGGTCTCATTACTAGGAATGCTCGTCTCGGCCTGGGTGCGTTACTTGCTCCAGAGCACTGCACTGCTGAGCACCCTGCAGATAGCAATAAATACACACTAGCCCCTCAGGACACTTTCAGGTCCTACCTCTGACTGTTCAGAGTGCCGAAGGCTCCACAAAAATTCCAGCATTGCCATAAAAATTGCTACGATTAAGCCACAGATGAGAACCACGAAGATTCCACCAATATTCTCCATTCCCAGGCCTAAAATAAAGCAGAAGAGAACAATGCTGTGGAGACACAGACACAACGCAAATTGCAGGCATCACTGTAGAGAAATCCCAACTCTTTGCTGTTTAGTTGGCATTGCACACCCAGCCAGGGACCAAAAACACATAGCCAGCACTGTCCTATTAATAGCTAACCGCATGACTCAGATGGCAAACTGAATGACTTGCAATAACTGCACGATCGAAGACACGTTCTCAGAAATGATGATTTTGCAGATAAATAGCAAGTACATTGGAGGGAAGTACAAAGCAATTTGTGGACAAACTGAAAACAGGAGAAAAAAATGAGAGATCAATCGGGCACATTAATCCCTGCAAATTATTCACCCAGTTCTAGTTGCTTTGAACTTTGCCAAGGAAGACGAGCAATGTTGTTAAAGAAGCAGAGATGAAGAAGACAAGAAAGAGCTTTAAAGGAAGCTGACATCAAGAAAAGCTCCTTTGATTGCATTACAAAGCGCTGGTGAAAAATGATTACAGCTGCTTGTATTGCAGTAGCAAGGAGAGGTTCCAAACGAGACCAGGACCCAACACTGTTTCACAATATACCGTGACCAAATAGGGTCCCTGCCACCCAGGGGTACCTGGTTACGGCTTGGGTGCTCTCTGCCCAGCACCCTCTGGCCCATGAGAAGGAAACAGCCCCTTCCATGGGGCAACTCACCTCACCTCCCTTGGGCAACTTGCTTCCAAGAGGGTAACGACCATCTCTACTGATCGTAGGAGCCATTCAGCCACCTCAAGTCAAATGCCACACATGCAGACAGTTTCGCTTAGGAGAGGGACTAAACCACACGCATGGCAGCTGCCAGCCCTATCCCCCACACAGCTTGCTCTCCAGAAAGCTCACCGGCAGGAAGGAAAATCCACCCCTCAAGAACCTGACCTGAGCTTTCCATGTGCCAAGGCTGTCACGTCACTTCCCATCACAACCCCCATCCCCAAAACTGCAGGCTGTGCCTCTTCCAGCCCTGCAGAACCGGACCCTGAGGGGAGCCGGGGAGCGGCACCAGCTCAGCACAGGCTGTCCGAGAAATGGCTCTTCTGCCCTGGGCTTTGCTGGCTTTGGGTCTCCAGCGGACTGGGCCCCTGATTGGATTGATTACTAAAAAGCATGAAGTGCTATGCACTGAGGTGACTGTATGAGGCCATTACTCAACAAGAACATCTATAAAAATCTTCCTCTCCCCTCCGTAGCATTAAATCAAAGTGTAAGAATCAATGATTTATTGACTTAATCTCTGCGTGGCTTTCAGACATAAAATCTCACCAAAATCCTTGTATATTGCTGACCTGTTTTGTTCTAAAACTTAGGAGGTCACAATTCTCCCTCCTCCTCCGTCATTCTTTTGGCACTGCCTCCAGAGCAATCTAGTGACTCTCTAAATCAGCTCTTTGTGGACATGTTTCCACTAAGACTGCAATTGCAGGGCAGAAAACATAGCCCATAATCACAGTTTAGACTCAAGATAAAGGCCATCCTCTCAGCAGCTCTCAAATTTGAATTTAGGGCCAGTACCCCTCTCTACATCCTTGTATCATTCTAGCTGGGTACCACCAAAGACACCCATTGCCAAGCTCACCTGAGAGGTGTTTCCTTCCTCCATATACACAGAGCAGCAGGCTACAGCCTTTCTCTTTTCCCAAACTGAGAAAGTGAGCCATGAGAGAGGGCACAAAACAGCAGAAAAACTTGTCCAGGGTCACAGTGTGCGTCAGTTAGTGCCAGAAGCAGCCCAGGAGCCTGCTTCCCAGCCTCCTTCCATCCAAAGCTATCTCAAAACAGCCCAGAGACTACACTCCACTTCAGAACTGATTTTTGCACAGTCTACAAAGGAAAAGATTCCCATGCGCCTGCTCGTCTTCAAAAGTAACTTCTTTAATAGCTTATCGCCTTGCACTGAGGCCTGGTGTCTTACACTGGGCCAACACCTTCTGCCTCAAGACTATCAGCCCAGGCTGCCTGGAGTGCAGCACCGGCGCATGGTCCCCAAGGGCCTCATCCAGCCTAGCTCACGAACTGCACAGACACACACACCTACACCTGCTGCAATGTCAAGAAAAAAAAAAAAAAAAAGAGCTACTATGGACACAGCTTGGCTCTCCGTCTCTGTGCTCAGAAAGGTCAGAAGACTGCCTTTTCAATGGGGGGACCTGCTGGCCTCCCAGAAAACACTTGCTGAGGAAAGGGCGACTGCCAAGCCAAAAAATGCAGCAACTGCGTTAAGCTGGCAACTGCGTTCACACTGGGACATCAGCCTAATGTGGTAGCTTTTATGGCAATTTGCATAGCATTACCCAAAAGAATTTGCTCCTCAGTTTACAGATGTACTAATAAAGTCCTCGCATCCCTTTCCCTGGCTGTTTAAAAGGCGCATACACTTGGAGTCATTAACCAGCGGGCCTGTGGTGGAGATCCATCTCCCTTGAAGGAACCCAGGATTTTGGTCTGATCTCTTTAGCCATCCATTTTCCCAGACATTCATTAGAAGCTAATTTACCCTCCATATGCCTCCAATATTTGTCATTTGGTTGTTCCTGCTATCTCTGCCCCAGGCAAAAACACACAGCATGAGGCACAGCAGAGCTGTTTGGCTTTCTCCTTGAGTTGTAAAGGAAGGAATCTCAGGTCAGAAGAAGGGGAAAAAGTAATTCTCAGGCAGAAAACCTGGCAGCGCTCATGTACCGATGGACATACATCCTTGCACTGTTGGCAAAGATGCTTCTAGTGCCTGGCCCCTTCAGCATGTTACCAGAGAGTGGTGTGGCTTACCTTTGGCTCTGTGGTCCTCCTCTTTGGGGCACTTGCCTCCTTCCCACCACTTCCGCTTCAGGATTTCCAGGCGGTTGTTCTCTTGCAACTGGAGAATGGCCAGGTCAAACTCATCACGAAACACAGAGCCTGCAACACCGAGAGGTGCGTGGTAAGGCACCGCCTCAGCCAGCCTTCGTCCCCACTCATCCCCACCACGATGCCCTGCCAGTGTGCCCAACTAACAAGAGCTCATCTCTGAACAGTTTGGAAGGGACTTCAGTCCATGTAAGCCCTTGAAACCCACAGCCTCCCTGCTGAGACTGTCAACTGGTTAATGTAATTTCAAGACGGTAATTTCGCCTGTCCACCAAGACCCACGTAGGCCATTTAAAGACACCTGTAACAAGGGGGAGCTTTGGCTTCAGGGGCAGGGTCTGAACAGGCAGTTCAGTATCACACCACTGCTCCTCCAGACCACTGAGGTCCCTCTCCTGTCATTCTGCCTCCGACTTCTCCTTTGCTCTAACACTCCTTCCCTCAAACTGGCGCGCTGCAAGAGCGGCAAGCTCAACCTAGGTGCAAGCCCAAACTCTCAGGGTAGAGGAGGCTCACTCCTGTGCTCGAGACTGAACTCTGCTGCAGTCTTGACGATGTCTGCTACCAGCGATCCCGAAGAAGGGCCGTGGGAAAGACCGCACTTCTCCTGGTAACTCTGCACTATTGTCCCATCGAGCAGCTTTCTGCTTTTCTTATCTGCTACAGTTTCACTGTTTAACAAGACAATGTCAGAACAAATTTAGTCCTGAAAGTAAGGATTTGTACTCACGATCAAGTTACTGTGACTTTACAAGCTTATGCATGTTAGCTAAACTATAGTGACTGTTTGTGTGACAGTTCTTATGTAATTCACCTTAACTTTGTATTGCTAAGTGCAGGTGCTTAAAGGTCAGGAACAAGGCTTCCCGAGCCTGTGAAACTGGCCGAAAGATCAGCCGATCGCTTGGAATAACAACTACTACATCCTTTTTCTGTGCTGCCCTGGGAGATGATGTTCTCTTGCTAGCTCTCATATTTGAAAGACAAAAACGCTGCATTTGTTAAAACTGATTATTAGCCGAGATAGTCACTGAATTGCCCAATTCTCTGTCCTGGAGTTTTAAGGACCACCAGCTGTTAAGAAACTTGTGCTAAAAACTGGAAGAGTTGCAACAGCATTACCTTTACAGCACTTCTGAGATAAAACAAGGAGCACAAAATGACTCAAAAACACTGGTTCAAAAGGGAAACAGTCAGCAAAGAGCATATATGCAGAAAATAAGCAGCAATTCTGAAACATCTTTCACATGAATTATTTAAAGAGCCGCAGTCGCGTGTCACATGGCTCTGGAGAAGAGCAGGGTCTCGTACATCTGGCTCTGAGCGTGCACCTTGCGCAATTGAAACATATTTGATTTTCCTCCGGAGATAAAAAATGACCCTGGGCAGAGCTGCGAAACGCGACATTGGCTTTAGAGCCGGTTCAGCCTTTCAAACGCTCCGGTCCTCTGCCGACAGCTGAGAAGGACTAGAATTTTTCTTCACTGCCTACCGACGGGCATGCCAATCCCGTAGCCCTTGGTGTCCAGAAGGCCCCCGACCTGCGTGAGGTTGCAATTGCGCTGACGGTAATACTCGTTCATGGTGGACTCCAGCAGGAAGGCGTAATTGGAGTTCAGCACACGCGCAATCCCTTCCTCCGTACTCTTCACAAAGACGCTTGGCTGCTTGGAGTACATGTAGTTCCACATCCGCTGGTACGTCTGGTAGCGGGAGTTCTGCAGGAGAAAGGAGGCAAGCCCAGATAAGGGTAGGAGCATCTTGACGCAACAAACCCCAAATAAGATGCCACTATGAAAAGGCCACAATGGGGAAAGGAATTGAAGCAGATTTGGTACCAGATTCAAAAAGGATTTAGATCCTAACCTTCATTTATTTCGATGAGATTTAGAGGCCCAAAATTCTTGGTGGATTTGAGACTTTGTTGGCAAAGCTGGGCATGAAATGCATACCTAATTCCAATAGGTTCCAGCAAAGCTCTTTGCATAAATGCAATTTTAGAAAAATACGTAGTTTCCATAACAGTATATCAAAAACACACACAAAAAGCCAGAAGAAATAGCTTGTGCTTGGCTGATTTAAGCCAATGAACGCTCCCTGGAGAGCTCACATCCTATCATCTGTCACTGTAACCTTTTGCTTAACAGTTCACCAGCGGCAGAACTAGGCACCATCACCCTGAGAAGGGCACTGAGGGCTGGGGGCAGCGCCACAGCTCTTTGGAGTTTGTTGCTCCCTGAATCTAGATTTGGTTCACCCCTGAGTGAGGCAAATCAAAGTACCTCCCTTAAGAGAAATGAAGTCTTTCCATTGACTACAGTAACCTAAAGCTCAACCAACCCCAAATCCTCAGACTTTGCTGGTGGTTGAACCCGCCTTGGTTTCATCGAGGGGAAAAGCCAACTGTGGTTAATCTCTCTCGCCCAGACTGAGCAAAAAGAGTGAAACCTGCTTGCACAAAGACTGAAGATAAACACACTCTGGTCTACATGAGAGGTTTCTGAATCCGGCCCTTTCCTCTCACAATTGCATTTCTGCAGCACACAGAATCCCCTACACCACCTCCCCTCCCGGACAAGGCAGCAGGTACGTGCCGTGCCGCCAGGCACCCCCTGCCACCTCGGGCTCGTTTTCTGTGGCTGGCGAGCGATGCCGGAGAGCCTCCAGGAGTCTGCTGCTGACCTAGTTACTGCTCTCATCTGTCCAGCTCCGTCCTCTGGGTGCAGTCCCTCGGCCAAGGGACAGACAGACAGGGTGTACATTCCCAATTCATTACACACACCTTTAAACCTTAATCCTGTGTGCTAGTGTCAGGGCAAACAGCTGCCAGGACAGGTTACAAGGCAAGGTGCCTCAGCAGTGGACGTCTATCTCATGCAGCCATTAACTGAGGGGTGGTGAAGACAGCCTCAGCCACGCCTGCTTAATCCATCACCGCGTTTGACTCACCATCGTTACACCAGAGGCAAATGGATCCCAACACAGTTTAAAGCTTTGCAAAAGGTACAAAAACAGCTTTTGCTAATTTCTTCTCTGATACCAGCAACTCCAGCACCCGCCAGGCAGCGCAGAGCCACAGTCAGGATTTTAAACTTGAAAGCCTTCCTGAGAAGAACTAAGCGAGTGCCTCGTATACAACCACCTCAGTCACTTGGGTTCTCTTCAGCTTATTTTAGATGTAACGTTCTGCTTAAAAGTAGCTCTTTGCTAAACCCCTGAAGGTTGTAAAGTTGGGCTGAAAAGCTCAGGTTCACTCCAGAGATTTCTGAGGCTTCCCAATTCAGTTCAGACTCGGGGCGGGGGGGAGGAAAGTGAGAAACGCTTTTTCTGCTCTCAGAATTTCAACGAGTAATAAATAAATAATCCTCGAGCAGTTCTTTGTGCATTCAGTGCACTGCAGAAAAGATTCACTCATTTATTTCCCTTCTGAGTAGAGCAGGGAAGATAAAAATTAAATTGGGCTAAATGGCACACATAAGTTTGCATACGCTTGACTTATTTGTTTTCAGTGCCACTGCCCACATCCAGACTCCAGCATTTTGGCACATGCTAGTCTACCTGGGCTTTGCAAATGTTTCTTTCCTTACCCAACCCTAGACCTTCATGGAAAAGCTAAGAACACATCAAAACCACACAGAGACCCATGGAAATTTGACTGCAAATGCTCAGCTGCTGAAGACCATGTTATGTCATCACTGTGACACAGGGATGTGTACCACTTTCCCAACCACATGGTGACACTCCAGGTGTTAAGCTGGTTTCTAAGTCCAAACAGGAAGGTCTGCTGCTCCAGAGTCCATCACAGGTGTCCTGACCCTTGTCCTCCAACATCCCAAAAGCATGTAACAGCTGCTGTGTTACAAAATCCTGCCTTCTCTGTCCTCCACCATGCCTTCCCCACCATTCACCCCATCGTCACCCACTGTGGATCTAGCCCAGTCCTGTGCAACCAGCAGCCAGGGGTGTCTCCAGAGGTCCCCTCTGTGCCAGAAACCGTAACGAAACTGGCGTGACAGGCTGGGTTGACATCCAAATCTGATTCAAGGGTGCCCTCTGCACCCCCTGCCCCAGCTCACAACAGAATGGGGCTTACTTGGAAGAAGGTCATGCTGGAGCCGCCGTGAATGGTGCCGTACTCGATGGCTGTCTGGTCGGCCAGGTCATCTACAGATTCGATGGGGACATCCATCCGCTGCACGGTGAGGAAGGCTGCCAGATTGGCCGTGTAGGAGGAGATGATGATCAAGGTGAACGCCCACCTAGGACAAAGGGAAGCCAAAGACTGTGACCTGAGATTTCCCCATGGACTGAATCATCGATCTCCATCCCCACCCTCCGCCTCTCCACCTGCTGCTGTCCAGAAAAGACCCATAGAGAAGCCTTCCTTAAGAGGAGGGCTGACCTCCTTACCAGACTCCACTGACACAGCGTGTGGATAATGCTTGGGGGGCAATGGTGGAGCCTTGCTGCATGAATCCCCCGACTGGAAACCACAAGCTGTTGCCGAGAGAATACTGATTCACAAGAAGATTGCATCTGCCTTGTGAGCAGGGGTGGGGGCTGTACCACTCATACGGTGTCAATCTAAAATGACAAGAAACAGGTAGTTCAGGTAATTCACTGGGAAATGAAGCACTCTGGAGAAAAGCAGCAAAAAAAAAGAAAAGCTCTGAAGCCCTAACTCTCCTGGAGGCAGATTCTTCTGAGGAGGAAACTCTTTACTGTTAGTTGATGCCCAGGGCTCAGAGCTGTGTGAAATGCTTGCTCTAAGACTCAGAAGCCAGAGGCTTTCTTGTAAAGATTTGTAAAAGTTTTGAGAGGCTCTGCTGAAAATCTGGGCATGGGCTGCAGGGAGGCTGGAGCCCTGTGTGCAAATTCTTACCACAGACAACCACAGCAATAATTCCAGATGTGCACGGACTTGATATGAAATTGAAATAAGAAAAATAACCGCATTGGTGCAAATCGTTGCTCTGAGAAGGCCTGATTGCCCTGGCAAGGTCTGAGTCTCAGGTCTAGTTTGAAGCCAAGTGCTGGTATGTCAGAGCATCACATACTTTCAGTGCTCACGGGAACAGGACAGAAGTGGGAATCTGAAATAACTGACAGCCTGTCACCAAAGTGACTGTAGCCTAGCTCTCTTTTTTTAATGTTTCCAATCCTCAGTTCCCTGGTTGCTAAGAAAGTCTTCTAATTCCTATGCTGCAGTTGATTATACTGCTAATGGTTAACAAAGCTGGTGCCTGGGAGGGTCGTTTTGGGGATACTGCCAATACAGCTGCAGGGCTCTGCCAGCTAACACAGCATTTGACCAAAATGAGGTGTTTATTTTCATTTCTGCACCTCTTACCTCACTGTGATGCCAGGGAGGTGGCAGTTATTTCTTGAAGACTGTCTACGATTGGATCAAACACTGGCAGTAAAAACCACTGCCAGTCTCCTGCAATCCACAGGGTCAAAAGCTCCTTACTGCTGAGCAAGGCAGAGAGCAGCGTCCAAACCTCCATCTCTAGTGGGAAGCCACGTAAAGGCATCTTTTTGTAGGATCATGTTTAAAACATGAGAAGGGGGCTAAAGAGGCACCAAATCTCAGCCTGCAGAGAGTGTTGGACTGCATTATTCGATGGTTCCTTCAGAACTATGTTTCTGGGGCTGCAGTGGCATTCGAAGAAACCATTGAAGCCCTGTCAGGATGACAACTTTAGCCATGCCAAGGGACCGAGTGACAGCACAGTTTCAATTTTTGTAATGAGAATTGGGTATTAACTGTGTCCCAAAAGAGCCACCAAGCCCTGAGCACGTCTTTGGTACGCATTGCCATGACACTGTTCAACTCTGTCTGCAAAGGCTCATCTATGCCACCAACCATAAGGAGTTTGTTAGGAGGTCAGGGAAAACGGCATTGGAGCGTGGACCCCAGGCCTCGATGGGAGACATGCTGCAGACAAGCACTCGGTGGTATATTTTAAGGCCGATTTAAATTAGTCATAGAGAAATGGAACTGAGAGCAGTCAAGTGAGGCACTGCACATCATCCAAGGGGCTGTTGAAAGATATTAATGAACCTTCTTTTTTTGTACACCCTGGGTTTAACAGGGCCAGGAGGAACCCAACATCACTACTGGAATTTTTGTTAATACCTCTGAATGCTTTTGCCAGCACCTGCCGGCCCCTACCCTTCCTGTTCAAGTGGTTGGTTTATCCGTTGCAGATGAAGCATCTACAGGGAGCAGCACCGTTTGCACAGCACTAGCCCTACTCCCAAACCCCTGGCACCCAACGCTGTGACCACGCACGCTCCTGAATCACGGCATGCTGTCACAGCAGCCATCCCGGGGCTGCCATATGCATCAGGGATGTGCCTGAGCAGGGACTCAACGGCAAAGCCCCAGTCCCCAGAGGGCAGGGGGCTGGGATGATTCTGCCCTGCTCACTGCCCCGTCCACGCCGGTGGCCTGGGGGATGTCCCCATGTCCCCCTGCCCAGCCCCTCACCACGCATCCCCCCATGGGTCTGGGAGCGTGACGCTAGATGGCATCGCGAGGAAGGAAAAGGCACCGCCAGTCACATTACCGAGCAACCAAGAAGAGGACGCAGCTGACAGCCAGGTAGGCGAGCAGCATGAAGAGCCAGACTCCAGGGGAAAAGGGGTCCAGGAATGAGAAGTAGCCAGGTTTGCGGCCCTGAAGGGGAAACAAAAAGGAGTTTGACCTGCTTGTATTTCTACAAATTAAACAGCCCGTTCTGAAAACAACAGAAAGAAATACACCTGACCTGATGCTGATGATGGATGGGAGTAACAGAAGGGAAATAAAGTGAACAGGGCTTTGCAAAAGCCTTGCAGGGGCAACAGGTGACAGCGAATGCAACAAATGACTGAGTCCTGCAGCATCTCCCCACGGGGATTCATCTCCTAGGACTATTCTTCTCCCCACCTCGACCACTTTTGTTTCTCCAGGCAAAGAAAGCAGTGATGATATGGGTAGGAAAAAAAAAAAAGAGAGACAAGACAATCACAGTGCTCTGCTCTGCCCATGGTAAGATGCGCTGTATCCCTCGCCTGCAGAGCCTCCGAGAGGGGTTCCCATCTGAAATCCTTGTCTACCCAAGCAGGCCCCACACCATGCTTGCTGGACAGGAGAGCATGTCTGAGCTTGGAGGGTGGGTGGGATCCTTTGCACAAAGCAGAGTGGGGAGGAAATATTTTTGTGCAGAGAAAAAAAAAAAAAAAAAAAAGGAGACATTTGCAATATTTCTCGTTTTCTTTCTTCAGCCTTGAAATGTTTCTGGTCTACAAAACTCAATAAAATTATTACTTTTATCTCAGGGAACATGATATTTTTATCTCCAGGATGCGTCAGAATTTCCTGTTTTTTCTCAGCAAACAACCTTTCCTTGAAAAGTAAGGCCTCACTGCTAGAAAAAGCAGGTTGATCTTCTCTCCAAGTACCTTAAATTTTCACAAGGACACTGCCACCACTGAAATCTTGTCAAACGTGGAAAAATTTGTGCAAAGGGAGGATTAATTTCTAGGAGAAGTTTCTCGATAGCTGAACACCTCCCGTCTTGGCAAGTGTAGTTCTGCCACCACCAGCTATGCATATGCACCTCCCCTACAACACAGCCTCCTCCAAGGTGGAAAGAGCAGCCGCTACTTTACCTCCAAGCACACTCAACGCCACCATGAGGGACAAGGGTAGACTGAAAATCTACAAGAAAATAGAGCACAAGGCATAGGACTAAGTGCTCTTTTGCTCTCTGTGCAATTTATAATATCCAGCACTGAACATCCCTGACACACCTCTCCCACCCTGAATGCTTGCGAGCGTTTGGCCAATGCTCATCTGCTTCAAGCATCTTCCTTCCTTACCACCTCCTCTGAAAGACTCCCCAAAAACAAATGAAGTCCCAACGCATAGCTAAAGGCTTGCATTAGCCCTGTGGGAATATGATCCCTCAAGCTCACAGGAGCCTGCACCTTCTACCCCAAACCTCAAAGTCAGTCCTGGCATCACAAAACCTCGAGCTCTACAGTTTCCCCAAGCATCTGTAACTGGGAAGCTGCCCACGAGTCAGAGCTCCTGCAAAGGCTTTTACTGTAAAGTCAGAGTGGAAACAGCTTTTATCACATCTCGGCCAGGCTGTCAGCGCATTCCTTACTGGCACCTTGCTCTGCTGTGCGCTGAAAACATCCATCACTGTTTGCTCAATGCAGCTCGCTCCAGCAGCCGTTTCCCAGCACTTGCAGCACGGCAGCTGCTCCGCTGTAGGTTGCTCACTTTACACAAAAGCTGCTGCCGGGGATCATCTTTGACACACAGAGGCCTCATTTTTCCCTTATCCACTGCCTAACCCTGCCTGTCTGTGACACCACATAAACTAATAATAGCTGGTAATAAATAACACGTAACCTCAATTGCCATAGCAAACCCAGGGCTGGCAAAGACCAGAGTCCTAATATTTTAGAGCTGTGCTTAATTCAAAGGCAGTGAATAATTTTCTGTTTTCACAAAAGTCCCCAGGAAATCTAGCTGCTTTTTTTTTTCCTCCTCCAGATTCTGACCAGCACTTTAAATTCAATTTCCATTAAAAAACACTGTTTTACTACTGAAGCGTTCTTAATCTTATGCAAAACCTGAATTTCACAAGGTCTTGGTAGTTCTTCTGAAGAGTAAGTTGTTGCTAGAAAAGGCAATAGTTGTTGCACAAAAATCTTTCTTTACTAAAAATATCTAGAATACTGTGATATTCTCAGCTCCAGTCACCAGCGAGGACCAAAACATCTCATAAACCTTCTACAGCAAACTCTGCCCTGCATGAAGTGAAGAACCACCACGCCATAACATCCTATTGCTGTGTCCTTAAGGACAAGATGGGATCTACATTAGCAGTTTTAGAGAATCTGTCTTATTAAGCCTTTTAACAACTAAATGAGTTAAGAATCAGTTCAGGTTCAGACCATCCTGTGTCCATTTTCAGATTAATTTAAAGTCACTTCCCAAGCGAAGGTTCAGGTTCTCCTGTGTATAATTCCAGAGTCTCTCTTTAAGACAAGGGTTATTTTACTGTGCTTGGTATAAGCAGGTGCAAAGGGTGAAAGACGCTACATTCTTCTTTTGTCGTTTCCCTTTTTTTGGTCAGTTGCTGCTGCGTTGTGCTTTTCCTTATACTCTTCCCATAAACCCAGAAAGAGACAAATGACTGCTACAGCCAGCATCTGCACCCAAACCAAGGGCCTTCCGAGCAAGAGACACTGCTGGAAACTACACCCCCAGCATCCCGGAGGGACTCACTTTTCCAGTAACATCCTTTGCTCCCCTTGCTGGAGCTCCACTCACTATTTCAGAGAGCTGAGAGCATCTCACATGTCTGCAGGCTCCAAGGGGCACTCCCTCTGCACTTCTTGCTGATCCCATCCGGAGGATCATGGACTGCTTGATGCCAAAGGTAGGCATTCTCAGAGCTCTTCTCTTCAGCCACTGCATGGCTCCCTGCATGCCCTCCTGGCCCCTCGTTCCCTTCTTCGTCTTGAGCTAAACTGACTCCGCAGCCTCCTCCACAGGTGTTTACACACTCAAGAATGAAATGAGGCAATGAGAACCTGCAAGGCGTGAAGGGAACTGTCTGCTCTCGGCCGAGTAAACCGAGGCTTCTTGAGCAGAAGATTGTTCGGGGCGGTTTATCCCTCCCTGGCATCCCAGAGCTGGCAGGAAACTCCCAGGCACTCACTGTGCCTTGGCTGAGGCTCCCTGGTGAGATTCTCCTGTAACAAAGTTCCTTTCTGTAATTAAGGCCTTGATGTCTTCTCTATGTTTCTGGGGCAGTTTGTCAATAAATTACTCTCATTAAGGAAATTGCGTTGGAAGCTTTAAGTCTCAGGCTTGGCAATGACTCTCTCCTGTGACTTTACAGTAGTAGTAGTTCTGGTTCTTTTCTGTTACAGTCATTTTCAGGCTGCTGCTACATATCCTTTTCATTCACAGTTGTGGATAAGAATAAAGATATTCTGTTCCCATGGAGGGCACAAACTCCCTCTTATCTGTCTGTTTTGAAGATGGGAATGACAATATCTGGAGTCTGTCAGATATTTTTAGCCTGTCCCAATACAGCTTTGTTAATTGGAAGAGCTATTATTCCTGGAATAGAAATGTTCAAAATGTCCAATAATTGATTAAGACCTCCTGCAAATCCTCAGATGGAGGCAATAAAGATTCATTTACCCTCCTCAGTCATTCTTGGAAGGCTTTGTTTTCAGCCAATGCTGTGACAGAAGAGCCTGAATGTGCAGGACATCCGGGAAGAGGAGGAAAAGCGGAGCTATATGGCATGGCCCCGGATTTATCTGTGTCCAGGTCCATAAGAGACTTTATGACTCCCTGCCTGGCCTACACACGCACACACAGAGAGTCTGAAGGGACCCCAGTGCCTGCCTGTTCTCTCTCACAGAAACAATCAGTCATTTCTCATAGACATTTGTTCCTAAAAAAGGCAGGCAAGAGAACTCTCTTCTGTCTGTAAGGCAAAAGGAAAGCAAGAAAACTCAGCCTGAAAAGGCAGAAATGTTGATGCATGCTAAGTATAACTGCTGCATGTTTGGTCTCACCAAAACAAAGAGTGTGTATTCTAGGATGACCACATCTGATGCAGATCCACATCCAGATCCAGATCCCTCCCTCTCCAGGGTCCTTTCTCCAGAGTCAATAAGCAAAAACCAAGCACGGGCTGCTGTGAATCCTGAGCCTAATGTGGCGTCAGCAGATGGCCAACGGCTGACGGGCCGATGCGTACCACGGTCCCGGGCATGCCTGGGGCCAGCGGTTGCTCCCATTCCTGCTCCAGTGAAGCGGGCGGCTGGCTGGCAGAGCAGTGCAGCTCGTCAGGAGGGGTGCTCAGCTCCTCTCAGCTCTGCTGCCTTGGCTGTCAAGCCTCCTCTGGCCGGTATGAAGGAGCTATTCGTCCGGTCCTTCCCATTTCGTGTCTTCAGCAGCAATCAAGTAGAAACACTTTAAGCCTTGGTTCACCTGGTCTAAACCCAGATATTCCAGTGTACTCGACAAACTCTCCTTTTCTCATCTTAAGGCAGAGCACATCAGGGCTGATGAGCCAGAATCATGTGCTAGCTAGTCCCTTGTTCCCTGCCACAGAGGCAGGTATGGGAGCAAAAGCATGTGTATGCTACAAATAAACCTGACTTTCAACATTGCTCTGTGCAGAAGTGGCACTCGGCACCTGATTTCAGCCCTCTGCCAAGCAGAGTGACTGCTCAGCACTCGTCATCTATCTTCCGCCTTCCACAGGTCCTACCAGCTGGTTACAATGGGAACATAATAAAACAAAGCGAGCCTTTTCTCTTAGCAGCCTGCAAGTCAGAAAGCCTATTAGAGTCCCCATGTCAGAAATCCATACTTGATTATATCACAAATGAAATTGAGAAAAATGGCAGCTCCATTTAAAGCTGCCATATTTGGTTATGTGTGATAAGAGACACACACACTGGTGGCTGGGTTGGCGGGGTGGGGAGAAAGCACTTGCCACTGGAGTTACATGGAAATTAAAATAAAATGTCATCACACTGGGAGGAGACCAGGGCATGGAGGCAATTCCTCAGCAAGAGATTTATTTGTGGTTATTTACTGGACTACATCTGATCTGCGCCACGATTAACATAGGTCAGCTGCAACTTTTGACATTGCAGAGATGTTTGTTGGGGTGGGGAAGGGAAGGGAGAGGAGGGGGTAGAAGCAGATGGGTCTGTGGGGCTGCCTTCCACTGTTCTGCAAACCACATCCTTAAAGGAAAACCACAGCAATTAGCTGTCTTGCCTTTCCTTGTTAAATATTCACCAGTTTAATAAGTTAATTGCCACACAGCGCTCAGACACTTTCCTCAAGCTAAGCAGGAAAGGTCTGGACAAAGAGGGGGCCAAGTGCTGGAGAGGGAAGGGGGGGCTCTGAGCTTCCCTGCTGGGGAGACCTCCATGCTCCTGGGGAGGGCAGGAGCCCAGGCTGCCCCTGCCATCGCTCCTCATGGCCTCCACGCAGCAAAGCGGGGCTCGCCGTGAGGGACCTGACCTGGGAGATGGCTCCCTTGCAAGCCTGCCTGGATCACCGGGCAGCTCCCCTACTCAAAGTCCTAACTGGGTCTTCCGTCAGGCAGCTGAAGACCAAGTCCTGACCGACAGCAGAGGACTATTTGCCAAATACTTTTAAACACTGTAATTATTAATCCTGTTCAGTTTGGTAAATGCCTGAAGGGCAGGCTGGAACACGGCTGTGTTGTGGTACTCTGGTACCAGCGCGAGCAGCAGATGGTCCCTGCCCTGAAGAACTTACACTCTAAATAGATGTGTCAGACACATTTATAGCGAGCTTGCACAGAGGCAGCAGCAAACACTTTGCACTTATAGAGCAGATCACATGCAAACCCTGCACTAATATTCCTATGTTTCCTCTGGAGGGAGCGACATCAGCCTCGTGCTGTTCAGGGAACAATGCCTCGTTAAGGGACTTGCTGAAGGTTATGGTGTAAATTGGAGGCAGAGCACGCATGGCACTCAATCGCCAAACTTTAACAATGCATGCAAGAAAGCAAGAAACTCAATTACAATCCCAGCCAAGAGATGCTGGCAGAAACGCCTCTCGGATCCACGGGGCAGCTGGTGGTGTGTAAAAGTGTAGCAGGGGAGGGACGGTTGTTTGATTTCTGGGAGCCTGAAGAGTCTGACCCTTTTTGATCAGTTAAGTCATTGATCCTAAACTCTGTACGTACCAGAGGAAACAGAATTTCAACTAGCTTTTAATTACTTGTTTGTTCTTGGCAGGAGCCACTCAGCACAGAGAGATGATGTATGAGCAAGTTTGTTTATGTTCGTACCAAACGCTGCATCCTGAACAGCCTTCTGAATGGAGAGGGGGGGAAGGTGGGCCTGGGAGAGGCAGGCTTACATGTTTTGTGCTTTTGCCTGTTATTCTTGAGCTGATGGGAAACCAAGACTGTAATTTGCATCACACTCAGCATTGTACAGAGCACGTTTCCAAAATGCAGAGTGGGAATAGTATGACATCCTGTTGCAAAGGTCCCGACTGCCAGAGCTCACCTCCTGTGACACCAGGGAACCAGGGGCTTTGTCTGGCCCATATGGGCATAGCTGAGGAAAATATGTCCTCTCCTGAGCTTCAGGAAGAAGCTAGAACAATGAAAAATGGGAATGCAAGAGAATCTACAAGAATTTCAGACAACAAGCATTGTCTAAGCAAAGACATGACACACCACCATGTACGCGCTTGCACACGTGAATCCCCTGAGCAGATTCACAGCTGCCCTGCTCTGAGACTTGCTAAACAGCCACCTGCCTTTAGGGCAGCCATGGCTAACCATGACACTGCTGCCGCCAGAGTTGCAAAAGATTACTGAATGCAGCAGAGTGAGAACCAGAGCTAGTTGCTAAACAACAGCGTGCCTCCCTTCTCGCTCCTCCCTGGCCAGCGCAGAAGCAAGGGAGTCTGAGAGCACCCGTGCAAGGCAGGGAGCACCTTAAGAGCAAGGAGCCTTCCTTGGGTTGCAGGGCCGGCTGATCTTTAGGGTGAACAACTGAGAGGAGGCAAATGAGAAGGTCTGAGAGCAGAGAACAGAGCCCACGCAGGGCAAGGAGCTAATTGCCCACAGCGGAGTTCAGCCTGCCATCCTGCCTGGTCCGGGGAAGTGCCCTGGGCCACTCAGGAGTGCCATTTTGCCCTTTTCCCACCTGTGATGAGGAAAGCAGAGGACTAATCTGCATGTAGAGCATATACAGGAGGTCACAGCAAAGAAAGCGATCCCAGATATCTTCCTGGCCTGACCTTCTTCTCAAATGTGAGAACGTAGCAAGGCTGCACACCACAGAGGCTAGGAACACAGCTGAAATGAGGGCATTGGGGCCCCAACACCAACTGGGTGCACCCAAAGGTGTCCTGGTTCAGTCTCCCAGGCAGTCTCCCCACCCTAAGTGCAAGGGGTTGGTGACTCCAAGCCAGGTTTGCTGGACTGCGGAGCCACCCAGCTGTGCTGCTGGGCTGCTGCACCCATCCATCCTATGGCTTTCGCTGAGCCTGAAGCAGAACCAGAGAAGCTGACATCTGCCCACACTTCCCCTGGTAGCACCGATCTGGTAGGGCTCTACTCATGGCCCCCCACCATACCAGGAAGCCTTGTATGGCCAGGGAGGATGGGGAAGAGGAGCCAACAGGGCTAGAGGTTTGAACAATGGGCATTAAATCCACCAAGCTGACACAAGGTAGAAAGACAGAGAAAAGGAGCAAATAAAGGTCAAGCACATTTGCGTTTAAATAAGAAACCAAAATATTTTTATGAGTCATTCATTTTTCTTCTGTAACTAGGCACGTTTGTATGCAAATATGGAGGGACATAAACGGTTATAAAGTAAGTCTCTTACCATATGAACTCGGTAGAGAATGCTAATTCCCAAAGTCATGAACGGCTTAGAGAAATCAATCACCTTCTCCCGCTCCGCGGTAATCGTCAGCCCCGCCACGGCCAAATCGGCTTTCTGGAGAAAAAGGACAGCAGAGAAGATCAGGACCCTAAGCCTGGGAAAGGCGCCAGGAAAGCAGCAGAGCCATGACCAGGGCCACACACAACACCCACTCCTGGAGGATGGGTGTCCCATCTTTCTGGGACGGGGTGCATTTGCTGCGGGGCAAAGCCCAGCCTCTGTGGAAACCGCAGGAGCTTTGCTGGTGATGTCCAACTAGTTCAGGCTGTGCTCCCACATCCCACTCCCCAGGTGGGTTTCACATAAGCCCACATCAAACACACTCCAAAGTTTAATCCACCTTGTGCTCCCACACCATCCTCCCCATTTTTCCTTTCCTCGTCTGAGCGTTTTTATCTCTGGACTTACAGGTTGGAAAAAGCACAACGCCCGCTGTGCTAGGAGCTGTACTAGGAGTGAACAAAATGGCAGCTCCTGCCCCCAGGTGCTCACAGCCTGATTGCCATTGCTATTCATTGAATGCTTTACAACCTGGCAAAACAGGAGCAATCAAGACAATAAATATCATACTACTGTTAAGAAGATACAACCTCCTCCTCCCAAAGCCCCTGTTGAACACAGCTCTCACATTCCAGAGAAGGCTGTTACTTGCAAATGCCACAGGTAGGAAAGCGTAACAAAGCAGCATCATTACCCCAGTACCCTGTCATGAAGTTTACAAGCCTGCCAACCCCAGACTTCCAAAATTGCAGATCAGTCTCCAAAAATTTCAGAGGACTGGCATAAAAATTTCCAGCTTGACTTGCAAAGCAAATGAGATTAGGGGGAAAAAAATTAAAATAATTTCTTCCAGTGTTCATACCCTTGTAATACAGATAAGGGATTTGAATTTTAAATATTATTTTTATTATTATAGCTCTTTTAATGCCTGTAATTGCTTTCTGTAAAAATGAAACCTCCTCCATTGCCTTACACATTTGTTTGCCTGCTTTGCAGGATGATGATTATGCAAGTGGAAAAAGAGAAGGGGCAGAAAAGAAAATCTATTTGCACTTCTTGTCCCTAAGTTTCATGAGGTCTGTGCAGAAGCCAAGGCACCACCAGGCCCGAAGACCCAGTAAAACATGGCGTTTATCTCCCTGGATCCATGTGCTAGTTGTAAATGCACCACACAAAGGCAAATTTGTGAGTGCATTACTCTTACCATGCTCTCTGACCCTGCTGCTCTTGCACCATTTTTCTTAAGAGAAAGGGGACTATTCACCTTCTGGCAGAGCTTTGCTGGGGGGTCTTTCCCCCCCCTCCACCCCCAACGGACTTGCCCACTTAAAGGCAGGCAGGAAGGAAGGAAAGGCCAGTGAAAGGCTGGAGTTGCAAGAGGAAAGAGCATCACTGCTGGAGCCTGTAGGACAAAGGAAAGGGAAAAGCAAGACAAGGTGATCTGCAAGCTGGCCCAGTAAGGGGGTCACGGAGAAGGTGATATTTCACAGTCCATGCAGGACTGCTTTATTGGACAAGCCCAGAGCTAGATCTTTGCAGTTGTTTCCAAGCAGCTATTACAGATTCCTAGGAGGTTCAGGCTGGAATGAATTATGAGCTACAGAGAATTTCTGCCTAGACATTTACTCACAGTTTTTAAAAGGCACCAATAATCACAATGTGGTGTGCGAGCAGTTGAGCCCTATGTAAACATCAGCAGATTACTAAGAGGGGGATCAGTTCATCTGTGGAACATGGCATGTGAGGAATTTTATCCACAAGAAAAGCTTACAGCTTCCTAAACCTCTCTTGTCTATACATAAAAGGGTCTGCCGGTACTATTGTCCTGGGGAGAGCAATCCCAGCAAAGCCTCTCTAACAATGAATTTCTTCTCCCAGTTCCCCAAACTGAACACAACTCTACCAGCAAAGTCATAGACGAAACAGATCGTAAATAAGCCACATCGAAAGTGTTTCATGCAAAAGCTCTAAGAACATTTCCATTCCCATCCAAGGGTGGCTGAGAGGGGTGGTGTGGCCCCAGGTTTACCCAGCCAAGTCACCACTCATTGCCTGCCCCCACCTTCTCAGGGGTGGGACGTGGATGCCATCAGGGAACTTTGCATACTCCGGTTATTCCTCCAACTATCGTCCTTTGGGACCCCCTCCAGATCATGGAGGCAGTAACACCTTGAAAGCTGCTCTTCCCTACGCCAAATGTAATGAAAATCCATCCCCCTCCCTTTGCCTACAGAGCAGCAACTTGGCACAGCAGCGCTGCCTTCCCCAGGCACACAGGTTTTGTGCCCAGGTCCCTCCTCTCATTTCCAGAGGGTCCTGTCATTCCGTAAGAGTTGGTTTCCTTCTACTCATGCCCTGCCTGGTCAACTTTTGTCCTTTCAGGACTTTTGCTGGCATCAGAGCTGTGGTAGCTTGCTGACTGCACCCATGCACATCTGCTTTTCTCCTGTGCCAGAGCTCCCTGGAGCAGAGACCTGGCTCCTCATGGCTTTAGCTGGGGCTGTGCTCTGCCAAAGACTCTCTCTCTCTCTCTGCAGGCTCTGAAGTCATGCGAGTTAAGAGCTGATTTCTGACAGCAATAAACTTTGATTTGAGAATGGCAAGCAATATATTCTCTGCCTCAATATAATCCATTTCATGCTTTCGACTTTGCTTCCTGATGTTCACAAAACTTCTTGTGATTCACTGAGGTCAGCGTTTCTTAGTTAAAGAGGAGCTTTGCAAACCTGACCACTCTCCAGCCCTCCCCACCTGAGCATGGGTAGGAGATGGCATTTTATAGGCTAAACAATGCACTGGGGAAGAAATGGATTTTGTTTTGTGCTTCTGTGTTCTGTCCACAGCTGGGCCCTGGGGAAAGGGAAAACAGGAGGCAAAAGATGGGGGAAAGAGGGGGCAAACACTGCTTGATTTTCATCCTTCCAGTCCAGTTGCAGCTATAAATGTCAGTGTGAAATAGGCTTAGAAAAAGACCCAGAGCATTTTGGGAGTAGAGACAGACACTTCTTTTAACAAAACACTACTTAAACAAGGCCAAACTCTCACTAGACGACAGGAAGCCCAGGTGGGCTGGTGTCTGAGATAAAAGCATGAGCTGCCACCACCATACCTGGCATTAACCGTGGGATCTGCCTGCATTAGCAGACAGGCTCATACTGCCACTGGAAAGGATGTTAAACACGGGGGCTGAGCTGGGCTCCTGAAGAGGAACAACAATTAAGCAGTCTTAAGAAGCAAATTGCAGGGACTGCCAGTCCGGAGGAGGCGGCCGCCTCCTCGCTGCAGATGCTGACAAGGCTCATCTCGGCGCTAATGGTGATGAATGGGGCCTGACGTCAGCCCGGGTGGAGAGGATCCCGCCAAAGCCGCCTGCGGCAGGGGGTACTGGGCAGGAGACCGGCCCCGCTCCGATTCACAACCTCCCGTCAAGCCACTGAAACACAGCCGGGAAGTGCAAGGGGCGTAAGGCTTTGGGCTGTCTCCGTGTCAAACACAGGGAAGACGAGCCTGAAGGACAGCTCTGGGGCCACAAGGCTTCCAAGCAGCAGGAGCCCCTGATTTGAACAGCACCCTGGATGCCACGTACGCTGGGTGCACATGAGAGCGTTGTTCTCGCCAGCGCCGCCCCACAGAGCACCGAGAGCGTAGCCAAGGTCAGGGAAAGCTATTTCTTACACCACCCCCCCCTTAGAGGGCCTTCTAGAAAGCTGAAACCAGCGTTCAACCTTCAGGACCCACCTGACCGCCACTGCAGACCCATCGACAGCAGCGCTGCTGCTGCAGACGCTTGCCCCACTGGAAACCTGTCCAGACACGGTACCGGGCACCCGGCTGGAGGTGACCCCGCTTTGCACAGGGCTGGGACCGGGTGATCTCCAGAGGTCCTCCTCTATTCCGTGTAACTCTGCGAAACAAGCAGCAGCCACTGCATGGCAGCTTTGGGTGCGACCTGCTCACTTGGGCAGCGGCTCCCGCACCGCCATGGCAATGGCAGAGCAGTCTCCCTGCATCTGCAGGTCTGTCCCACAGCACGACGGGTACGGCTCAGCTGCCGGATCAATGTACTGATTGCCTCTGCTCCAGGTGCCCATCTGATCTGACAGGAGCTATTCTGGGTTGTGCAGCTCCTCCTGATGGAGTGAGTGGCAGCCAGGTTGTGCGCTTGGATGCATATTCTTGCATTTAAAAGCAGGGCCAGATGAGGGTCACTCAAAACCATTTTGGGGGGATTTTTTAAGGACATGCATGGATTCTGCCATATGAAAAGTGACAGCCTGAAAACCCTAGAGGCTGCAGCCTTCCATTTAAGCCACAGTCAGGGATGTGATGACCAGCAATCAGTGCAGACATCAGCCTCAAGACTGCCTTCACCCATCTTTCTTCACCTAGAATATCTTCAGGGGTGGGAGGAAAAAAATCTGTGTCAGGTGTTCACCGTGCCCAAGGCAAAAGCCAGATAAGGTGAAGCACCAGAAACGGAGACCCAAAGCCCACAGGGAACAGCAGCAAGATCTACCCAGCTCACACCACACCCACCATCTTGTGTGTGATTTTGGCAAAATCAGCAGTGTGATGCAAACCTCTCTGCCCATACCCTTGCTGTGTTTGCTCAACAACCCACGCCTCCTCACTTCCCCACTCCCCCTCACTCCCCACCCTCTCGAGCCCCCCCCATGTCACACTTGCCAGTGCGATAGCGTGCAAACAGACTCCCCCTCTCTCCCTTCACCCACACACAGCTTTTCTTGCTGAACACCAACACCCATCGCTGAGCGGAGAGCAGGACTATGCCAATTTTGAAATGTCTTCTCCCTCCTTTCCCCTTCCTGCCATTCCTGATCTTTGGAGCAGTTGAAGGGAGAGAGCCTCTGATTGTAAAGCACCACCCAGTCACCAGCAAGGAAGCTGGAAAAGCCATGACCCCAAAGATTTAAGGTCATTTCAGTTCTTAGTGTTGCTGCTCCTGAGGCCAGACCCTTACACGAGACGGAGAGCTTCATCTCCTTCACTTTAAAAAGAGCTTTGATCACCACTGATCACAGCCAGATTCAAACCACCGACACAGATGCCAAAGGTCTAGCATTATTCCACAACATCTCACTCCCCAAATGATCCTGCGCAGAAGGGGAGAGCAAGAGCTTGCTGTCCCGAGCACCCCCTCCTTACTCCATGCACCTTAAGGCATCTTCTACAGCAGCACCAGCCTCACCCAAATACGCGTGCCCTGGAAACACTCGTGGATCTGCTGTGTTACCACCACCAAACATGACAAGTTATTTAAACCATGCCAAAGGAAGCGTAGGAAGCTGATACAGGTTGCCCAAAACACAGCTAGTCTGCACAAAGCGTGCTCCTGCCAGGACTGCTTTGTCCTTCCCGTCCCCCTGCACCCTGCCTCAGGTGTGTGGGATGGGTCTTCTGCAGAGGGAACCATCACCTACCACTGGTACCCAGCCAGATCCCAGCTGCATCAGAGGGAGGTTTCTGGGAAGTCTTTTAGCAAAACTGCAGCATCGGATTCCTGCCAACAAAGCTTCCTGGCAAAACCAAACCACACCATCTCCTGTTAGCTCAGCCCTGTTCTCTGGGGGCATTCCCAAGACGGGTAAATTCAGAAACTGTTGCTGAGGGATGTCTCAGACACAAGCCCATCTCCTCAGGGAGGAGCAAGGGAGCTGAGCGCCAACAGCTTGCCGTGAGCTGATGTACAGACACTGAGCACAGCCACCACGGAACGACGCTACCAAGACAGAAAATGCAGGCGTGGAAGAACAAGGAGAAGGCTGTCACATTGCCGTGAAAATACATTCGTTGGCTTGTATCACACTAGCGAATTCCTTTCAGCTCAAGGATGAGCTGGAGAGAGAAAGGGAAGACCAGACAATCATCAGGGGCTCTGAGCCAGAGACTATACTGCAGTGGGAAGAAGCAAGACGTAATTCTTCCATCCCTATTGTCCCCTAAGGCTCTGACACCAAAAAATAGGAGACAGGAAGATTTGCTGTTCCCCCTTGTTTGCTTGTTACAGATAGCACACGTGTTCGGCATCAGCCAAACTGCTGGAGACTGCAGTGATCGGAGCCAGAGCTGGCCAGGCTAACAGGGGAAAACTGTCCTGGCCAGAGTGCAGGTTTGCTACCCTGCTCACTCAAGGAATAAGCAGGGTGTTCAGCCTCCCTGCCCCGTACGCACAGAGGGACCAATTAGCTTGGTGCTTTCTCAGTTTCTGACATCTTTCACTAAAGAACAGGCTTGAGTACTTCCAAGTGATTTCTCCCAAGCCAAACCTCTATCGGCTGCTCACAAAGCGTACAGGTTTCCTGATCTGGTGACAAGTGAGACTGCTGACCTAGACCCAGGAGTCTCTATAGCTCTTCCACTAATCCCCCAAGCCATCCTGGTCCCCCTCTTCCTTAGCTCTTGATTAGCTTTGTGAGCAGGTCGATAAGATATGTACTGGTGAATTTGGGTCAACAAATTTATGTTTATATGGCATCCTTCTCAATCATATCATAGTGCACAATTACCTGTAATAGAATTTTCAGCACTTCGGAATAAATCAATAGCTGGTTAATTTAGAAGCAATAAAATGAAACACTTTTCCCATATAGCCTATAGTTGCTCTGAGAAGATTCAATGCCACAGGCAGATTACAGTGGGAAAAAAAAGTACTGAAAAGTATTGCATGGAGCTGGGTAATTTTCTGACCTTCTGGTTCTGCTCACTAAGTGCATGTGAGTCAAACCTTGCTTGTGACAGCTGATCGGGGTCAAGGAGGAATCGCTTTCCTACAATAATACAGCACTGCACAAGGACAGGTGCAGAGCTTTTATTCTGAGTAGGATTTGGAAAGTTTTGAACCCTGTGACAGGTTTGTGTCCCAACTGATGCCCTCTCTGTGCTAAAGGCTGTACAGAGGAAAGGGATAAATCTACTCAAAGAGGAATGTCTGCACCCGACATAGGATCTGCTGGCTCTTCTGCTTCGAGTGGTCCTGAAGTGGGACAGAGGATGAACAAGGAGCTGGAACCAAGGAGAAACCCCCCTGGGGACTGACTATCAAGGAAGAGAGGAACCCCTTGGGTGGTGAAATGAGATCAGAAAGCAACGTCCCAAGCAGCCTGGAATAAACACAACAGCATGCACACAGGCAGCAGCTCTGCCCTGGCTGACCTGATCCAAAGTGCCAGTCCTTGGGACTGATCAAAAACTTGCTGAAACCATTATAACGACTCTAAAGGGCCCAGGAAGAACAAAGCAGAGAAAGCTTTTTCTCTTCTCCAAGTTTTGATGCAGCCTCACACAGGTTTGGCCAGCTCTGCCCTGCTGAAGCAGAAGTAAAAATCCTCCTAAATAAGGCTCGAGCTGCAGAAGAAACAAATGGTTTCTATGTGAAGATGAAGTTAAAACACTTATCACTAAAGAAAAACAACCCTCCAGAAGCTCCCATTTAATGGAGAGGCACTGCCAAGGTTAGTAGGCCAAAAATTTGATGGATGTTCCCTTCCTTTGTTTGCATAGATCACATACTGCTCTCTGCGCCTTCCTTCTTGTCTCCCAAAAGTAGAGTTGCAGAACTGTAATTGTGTGTGTATATATATATATATATATATCTACACACAGAGAGAGATATGTATAAAAACTATGCCAATAGCCCAGAGCATTTGCAAACAACCATACAGAAGGCTCTTTATAAGAAGCAGACGGAGGTGGGATTTCAGCCGACTTCGAGATTTATCACTCTGCTGGTGAAGGGTGATCCAGGAGCCAGGGCACTAGTTCAGGAGGGATCTCCAGTCCGTATTGTGCCCCGTCCCTGACCCTCAGCAAGTCTTTTAGACCTAGAGTTGTCCCACCTGACTTGAAAGACTCAATTGAAGCTCCTAAGGTAGGAGAAGCATCAGCCAGGGCCCCTTTGCCATCCGGGGAAGCAGCAGCCAGGTGCTGGTGAGCATCTTCTAGAGATGCTCTCGTCTCCCACAGCGGGAGCCCCAGACCCCTGCCTGGAGCCCCAGGGGATGGATTCGGGCCCTCGTCCCTCTGCTTTGCAGGAGGACACGCCACTGCTGTGAGGATAATGATGGGGTGGCTCAGGGGCTCCTCTCACACAGTGGTGTAGATTATCATAAATACACCTCACTGCAGAACTGCCACCAGCTGAGAAACTGTCACTGCGTTCTCGCAGGCGCTTTGGTAATAACAAGGCAGGGTAGAAATTGGTGAGCAAGGAACTGCTGGTTTAAATAACATCAATCTTAATGTTAGCTTTGGCTAAGCCTATTTTACTAAGGAACTCAGAGCATTTAGTGAACTGCATTTAAGCTTCTGGATCCCTGGGGAAGGACTACGTTTAGCTGCGGAGGAAAACAAAGAGCAGGGAGGGAGGTAGACAGGCTGACTGAGCACATGTGTACATGGAATTGTTGTCAAATCCAGCAAAAGCATTCAGCTTTCACTCCAGCTGCCGTGCAGGAACACCACAAAGCAGAGCTGTGAAAAGATCTCGACCCGTGCACTTCAAGCAAACAAAAAATCTTCTCCAAAAACAGTACTCAAAGTTAAGGAGTTGAAATGGATCTGACAAAACTTTTCTGGGGAGAAATGTGATTCTTACTTGCTTCCCTCCCAGTGTGTTTTTTTAAGTTTTATTCAGCTTCTACCAACCCCTGCCAGAGCCTCTGAATTTTCCTGTTTCAAGTTTTCATTAATTTTTCCACTGGGAAAAAAATATAATCCGCTCCGTATTGAGCTCTTACACAGGGACCCAAGAGTCCAGGCCTCCCTTCCACGGAAGCGAGCACCCCTGAGAGCACCCAGGGGCCCCTGACTCGTGCTCCGACTACGTCACACGCTGTCATATCAACACAACAAATATATTTGCCACTGGGAGAACACATTAAATGGAGATCCTCTGGCCAAAGTCTCACAGAGGGAATAAAAGCCCCATCCATCCTTATCATCCTGGAGCACTTAATAAAGCATCAGGGCTTTTCATTGCCAAGTCCCACTAGAGCACAGGTAAAAAGAGCAGCAAACTCACTTACCCGAGCAATCAGCTCCCCGACCATCCCAGTCCACGTGCCATTTGCCTCAGGGACTCCATACACACCATCCCCAACAAGGTGGATCTTATAGTTGAAACGCAGGATCTCTGCCAGCTCCTTCAGCATATCCACACAGAAACCCTCGTAGCGGTCGTTGCCTTCCAGCTCCTGATGGTTCCACTTCAGCATTAAGTAGGGGTTTTCCTGCATTGAAACTGGGCAGCTGTCATTCCCATCTTAGCCGAGGTGTCCCACCAGCACGGCACTGAGCGCGGGGACAGAGGGCAGTGGGCTCCCTGGCAGTGCCGGGTTGGCAGAGGCTCATATGAGGGGCACCCAGGCCAACCCCCCATCCTGATATATCCCTCTTGACCAGGGTATGAGTGATATGGAAAGCTGGTCTGATGGCTGGGCAACCCAGGTGGTGTAAAGCTAGCAGAGCTGTTTCTACACTGGTATTCACTAGGCTGTGCTGCGTCAGGGATGTGCTGGAGGTGCAGCAGATTTATCCCAGTTTAGAAAATGAAGCAGAGCTAAGCAATCATGTTTTGGGGGCTGTTCCCAACTGGCATGTGCCAGAGCAGCCCAGTGACTGCTCCGAGTTATGGCATGACATACAGATCCCAGCCTCTCTTGGCATATAGCCACTTCTCCTGTTTGTCCTCCTTTTCAACAAACTTTGTGGGACATGAGGAAATAGTGCTCAGAGCTCTTCAGGACTTTAAGTGTCTTTAAGGAAGGAGTAGAGGCACTGGAAAAAAATCATGGGAGAGGCAGCACCTGGAAGGGGAATTTGTTAAATAAGGACAGCGGTGCCTGTAGACATGAAATCTTGGTTCATAAAAGTTGCACCCATCTTGACCAATTTTAGTAATTTTATGGGTAGAAGGGACAACTGTCCCTTCCAACTTACCAGCTGTACGCAAAACAAGAACATCATTCAGAGATGAATGTAAAATGGCAACTTATCCCCATCCCAGCCCTCTCCCCAGCTGCTTCTGAACTCATCAAATATCATTTCCATATGAAACATCAACTTGAGTTTAATTACACTGTCATGAATTGTCCTCAGTGCTGTAATTAGAGATTTGATCGTCTGTTCTTTATGAAATCAGTGTGCAATGCTGCATGCTGGGGGCCGAGGGGGGTGGGAAGAGGGAATATTTTTCTAGCTGATTGACACCCCTAAGCGCTGGGCTGGTGAAGAGCTAATGGGAACTGTAGGTGACCCCCTCCCTTACCAGGATGGTGGTGACAATGAGTGTGGTGTTGAACAGACTGTCTGTTATGTTGGAGGAGAAGATCCTGTTGTCCATGCTGAGTCCTTCAGAAACGTGCCAGTGGCCGATCTGGAGAGATAAACAGCACAATAAGGGAATTTACAGGGCAAATTACTGTACGCACCTGCCATATGGCTCCGGTGACTGACAGCCATCAAGCTGGCCCTGGAAGAGGTGTTTATGAATGCTCCATTACCTTTACAATGCACCCCCACAATGGGCTGGCAGAGAGATTAACCCACTGGTGCACAGCCCCGGCACACCCCCAGGCTGCACAACACCCCAAACCCATCCCTGCTCGTGGCGGGCGCTGCCTTCCCTCGCATCCTCCCTGCAGCCGCGACAAAGCCCTGCACTAGAAGGAAGCCATGCAGTGGGCAGCTGCCCGAGGCTTGCGATGGCCAAGCAGCCCTTCTGCCTTGTCCCCAGATGCCACCAAGATGGGTCCGTCTTATCCAGCATTCCCACGCACCCGACATCTGCAAGCTTGTGCGACTGGGAGCCTCTGCTGTCCCTCACAATAAGGCATGGCAGCTAGGTCACGGTCGCAGGACTACGTGGTCATCGCTCTCAACCTGGTGCATTTTGGCTGACCTCTTCACCTCCTCAGTTCTCTGAAGGTCAACTTCTACAGGGGACAGGGCACAGAGGTGCTACATGGGAGGCTGCTGGAAAGGCAATGCTATAGCCAGGGTTTGGCACGGCGGCGCTGTCCTGTAGTGAGACCCAACCACCAACACACACTGCAGGGTCAAAGCTACACCCAGGTTTGATGATGCTGAGCTCTTCACACTGGTGACGTGTGTTACAGACACAGCTTGGAAGAGCTTCGGGAAGTGCTGAAGACTCATGATTTCACAGTGAAAGCCCAGAAATGGGGGAGGCGGGGTTTCTGCCTCCAACTCCTGTTCTGCCTCATGCTGTGTCTGCAACTTTGAACAAAGGTTTCACCTGCCTGAAAGCAAGCAAAACCTTCTGCTGTCCTCCTGTAAGTGTCACTGTCATTAGTCAAAGGCTTGTATAGGCACTGTGAGCTCCTTGAGGAAAACTCTACAGGGAGTATGACAGCACCTCAGCTTCCATTGTAATCCCGAAGCAGCAGTGCTGTCGTAGGGCAGATGCCTTCCAGCCCCAACCAGTAGCTCCACCTTGGCAGCAGGTGGTGAAACGAAGCCACGTTCTCGGTGGTGCTGCACCATGACTCATCTCCTCTATCTGCTACAATGGATGCCAAATACTATGATTAAGTATCTCCAAACCCTTTGATTCAGGCTCATCACACCCAACAGCTCCACAGACAGCCTAATTCACCCATCCAAGCATCAGTGTCACTGCAGCAAACCTAATTCCCACCACTTGTGGCGAGGAGGACAGTCCCCCAGTGCTTGGGAGGACATCGTGACTCAGCTGTGACGCAACGCAACCAGCCGCTGCCTTCAGCCAGGGGGAGGAATATTCAACAAAACCTAATTTTAACTTCAAGAGCCTAATCTCCCTCCCTCAGAGCTCTGGGCAGGGAGATCAGCACCTCCAGCAGCTCTTTCAGAGCATGCAAATTATGCTCTCGCTCTCTTATGCTCCCTAAAAGAGCCTCTGTTTTTTCTCATGGATAGATCGACAGCTGAGGGAGGCCAGCTCCCTCTGAGACCACTTCTCTCTCCTTTTTCTTCTGCAAAGCCTCTCTGCCCCTGTCAGGTTCCAGGCCTCTGCATGATGGATTTCTGGTCACAGCCTAAGTCCTCTGACACCACTGAAGCAAGCTGCTGCGACCCTAAGAGGTAGCAGGTCACCCCAGTGTGTAAGGGTGTCTTCACAGCTCCTCCGTAGTCACGGTGCCAGAGCAAATCCGTTCCCGATTCCCTCGCGCTGACATGAGCCATCTTGGGCGCTGCCAGTCTGAGGCAGGTTATCCTTTCGCTGTGCCATGGTTGTCAGGGTGGTAGGAACAAATTGATTTCACTTCCGTCAAAGAGTAATCTGATTATGTTCAGAGAGGTGGGTGGAAGGCGACACAGAGCTATGGGCCAGGCGGTTGCACCGCCATGGAAATGAATGGGAAGCACGCTGATTTACACCTCCTCAGGATTGACTCCATGCACTCAGTCACTTTTCTTGGCAGTGCTTTGCCGCTGGCATGACTGATGGCTCGAGGACTTCAGAACCACTTCCCAGCTCGTGCATCCAAGCCAAATGCAATCCGAAACTGCAGCCATGCTGCTACGCAGTCAGCAGACTGAATCGCTCTGGATGTTGAGGAAAGGGCCAAGTCCTTTCTTCTCCTGGCAGTTGGTATAAATCTGGCCCAAGCGACTGAGAAGCCATTACAAAAGTGGCTGTCCACGAGGAGCCCCAAATCCAGTCCCCTCACGTCTAGGCACAAGGAGCAGGGGGAAGTGCAAACAAGACAGCTTACACTCGATGGGTCTGCAGAAGGAAAGCGGGCAGGGAAAGCAAAGGATGGTCCCATGCACATCTGCTCTCCTCCCTGGCTGGAGTCAAGGTACTGGGATGCAGCAGCACAGGCAGAGCCCGCTGAGTTCCTGGGAGGGGCCTGTTTCCTCTGCAGATAACACAACAGAAATTATTCCTCTGAGCTGTCAGCCCAGCCCCTTCGCCAACATTAATAATGCTCTGCTGAAAGCACCTCTCATGGCAAGGACCTCTGGATCTGTTGGAAGCATTAACTCTCGGAGGCTCCCCACCAACAGGAGAGGCTCTGGGGGGTTATTAGCCTGACCTGGCAGATGGGGAGATGGAGGCACAGTGATGGAGTCTCGGAGCAGGTTGGGAGCAGATCTTGGGCATCCTGTTCTCCTGACTGCTTGTTCTGGCTTAACTACTATCGTGCTCGTAGTGACACAGCGACCCTGTAGTGCAGGACCCATCTCTGGGAACAAGAGTCCCAAACTGGGAGATTTACCATGTACTTCATGGACAGGGAGTCCTTGAAGCGCAGCTGTAACTGGCCTGCGCAGGGTCTGCATTGGTGCGATGGGATGGATTTATCCTGGCTGTATTCCCCATCTCTGCACAAGGTGCTTGCCTCTTGCTGTGATTGCTAAACAACAGACCCTCTGCAGCAATTGCCTCTCTGAGTAAGTGATCAGTCATAAACATTGACTAATTTTTTTTCTCCCAGATTTCACAAGCAGAGATTAGTGACAGATTAACTTTAATTTTAACAGCCCTCACTGTTCTCAAATTTGTCCCTCCCCTGCTGGCACACTGAGACTAATTGACTGCCTCCTCCTCTGACAGCGCAGTGGGTTTGACCTTGCTTTTAACACAGCACCAAAGCCAAACCCCTCCCATGTGCTGGGGTCCTTCCACCCCATCCTGGCAGGTTTCAGCTCACCACTGTCCCCCTCACAGTATGATAAAGTCACTAATTGACTCCTCACGCTGTTTGCTCTCTTTCTGAAGTGTAATGTGTCAGAAGATGTCTGGGATCGTCAGATCTCTCCCTCTCTTGCAAGATGGATGTCAAGGTGATTTTAATCATCTCTATGTATAAAAAGCCTCTGAAAAACAGGAAACATATTCATCTGCAGAATGTGTTAGAAAACAATCAAATGCTCTACATGGACATGGATAAGACGATCCTGTTGTTAAGGCTCTGGACTAGGACTTAAGAGTTTCTAGGACTCAGGATTTTTTAGTAACGGATATGATTGGTCTGTATAAATACACCAGGTGGAGGAGGTCTATAGCAAAGAGGTAGAACAGCTTTTGAAGCTAAAATGATAGCGTTGGCACGAAAATAAATAGATATAAACCAGCCAGAAATAAACAGGCTGAAAATTAGAAGAGGGTTTCTAATGATCAGCAGAGCCGAAGTGATGGCATACCTTTCCCAGAAGAGCAGTGAAGGCAACACAACCACCTGGTTGCAGATTGGAGCTCGATACCTTTTGCAAGGGTGGGTTATACAACCTGGTGACCGGTGACAGCCGGTGGCCTGGATGGAGAAAGTTCCCTCCATGTCCTCAGGCTGCGTGGTCCCACTGCAGACCCCCGCGGCATCACCTCTGCCCTTCCCGGTGCCTCCCCGTGCTCAGCCCTCTGCCTCTGCCCAAGGAGAGCCAGACCCGCCCTGCCCGTCCTGCCGGCAACGCCTGAGAGTGTCTCGAGGCGGGAGGTCTGTCTGCCCGTACGTCTGTGCTACAGGCAGGGAGCAAACGTACAGTTTCAGAACCAGCCCAAAGAGCCTCCAGCCTGGAATAAGCAAGGAAGTGCTGTTGCTCGTGACACTGCTCCATCCCCACAGGCAGGCAAGGTCCCTCAAATTAGCTGCTCTGCAGAAGGCGTTATTTGGATCAGTGACACTTAAAGATTTCTTGTTGCCGTAGAAAATCCCCAGCGGCTAACGTGATGCAAGTGGGGCATTCCCAGCTCGCTCCCTCAGTCCTTCAGCTCCTCCGTTCAGACACAGATGTCTGGCCTTTCAAGCTCCTTGTGGCGCAAGATGACAAAATACCGCTCAAACTAATGATTTTAATGAAGTCTTCTGTCCAGTGCCCCGCAGGCCTGAATGGCAGCTGGTGGCAGGGAGAGATGACACAGCAAGACCTCTCCATAAGCTTCAGAGGCACCACGGATACTTACCACCCCCACTCCCCAGCTAAAAATTAAGGTTAAGTCAGCTCTGAATGCAGGTGCCTTAAAACAGGCAGGGGACCACCACTGCAAACGGAGGCACCTTCTGGGTTCTGATTAGCAAACACTGTCCTACAGCTTGTATTCACCACCTCCCCTTCCCCCGTGTCCCCAGGAAAAGGAAGGAGTGCAAAATGCTATCATCTCTCATCAAGCCTGCGTTTGGAGAGCCTTGTCAGCACCAATGGGAAAGACACTGTGCCAGGAGGAGATACAATTAAGTAGGTACTTGATATACAGTGACTTCACTGGCCCAAAGGGGAGGGCATTTGGAGGTGTCTGGGTGGGGGAAAAGGGAATCAAACAAATGGAGGCAAGCCCTCAGAGGACGCTGCACAGGTCTGTCACGGGGTTGGCACTCCTGAAGGACACTACTGCAAGACTGATGCCAGCAAGGCAAACAGGCAAAAGCCTCCTCCACAGAAGTTAACACGGGACACAGAGCGCGCCAACTGCTAAAACCTGCACAACCATGCGGCACACACACAACCCAGCCCTGAGGCCACGCAGCAACCCCTGCGATCCTCCCCCTCCCCAGAGGTCCCCTTCAGATGACGTGACTGACACCTGCCACAGCCCAGGCAGGACCCAATGGTGGCATGCACCGAGTTCACTGGGTCCTGGGGGGAAAAAAAGACATTCAGATCTTGGCAGGATCTGTCCCTGAACTCTTGCTGAGGGTAACAGCTAAAGAGGAACAAGTCCCCTCGAGACTGATTAGCCACTTCCAAGTTAAAAAGGTTTGATGTGGCAGGGATTGCGGAGGGTCTCAGAGCTATCAGCTGGTAACTCATCTGTAGCTCATCAACACACCAATTAAGACACCCCCGTCACTTCCATTGCTCTTAGGACACCAGCAGAGCCTTTAGCCAAATGCCAACTGATCGGCTGCACCTAGGACCAGGTGAGAGCAAGGGGTCTCAGGCAGAGCTGGGGACAGCGTGCTCATGGCAGGGCTCCAGCCCCGACAGCAGCTTCCCCTGTCTCTCCTCTGCACACTTGCCTTCCCTGGGGCCGTATAAATCACAGCCCCTCTTCATTCCCTTCTCCTGTTAAGCTGCCAAACCCCGGCTCTTGGTTTACTGCAAATCACTACACTGAAACCAGAGGGGTGTGCTGCAATGTTTTTTTAAAAGGGGCAAAGAAAGGGAAAAAATAAAAAGATGACATTTACAAACTCAGTCCTTGTCAGATCTATGGATCACCAACACATTAATGAGTCTGTGCTTTATCGCACATCCTATGAACAGAGAGCAGCTCTCATATGGCTGGGGAAAAATTCCCACTAGTTAAGCTAAATCAGGAAAAGACACGTTTGGTGCGTTACATAAATGTATTAAAAATTGGATGTCAAAAAGCCCTGCCTCTCCTTGCCCAAAAGCAACAGCAAGTAAGAAACTCTAAGTGCCTCTAATTTGTTTGCTGACTGGATCAGCTTCAAAATTCTGTGAATCCTCTATCAAAGCTGATGAGCGCGAAGTCCCAATGGCTTTGATAGATGGAAGGAGAACAAGAGGGAGAGAGAAAAAGAGAGAGGGAAAGAGAAATGGACAGAGAGGATGAACTTGATTAAAACTAAGGAGGGAATAGAAAGGTTTCAACTCAGAGTCTGAGCAAATCAGTTAATATAACCCTTGGGAACACGACTGTCTCCAGGATGTGCATGTCTGTTCCTTACCCCATCCCCTCAAAGTGGGTTTAATTAAATGATTTCTAATGATTTATTTAGTCGTTTTTATTACAAGAAGCAGGGCTGGCGATAAGAAAATAACCACCTATGGCACAGCATAGTGGCCTTTGGTTTCCCTTTGCAGTGACCAGAGGGACAGGCAGGACCCTGCCCAGATTTCACAGCTCTGTGTGGGGATGCCCTGCCCAGCCGGGCTCATCAGGACAAATTCTTGCAGCCTGTGAGTGGCCCTAACACCCCTCCGGGCATCGCTATCAGTCAGGCAAGACCCCCTGCCCTGAGAAGGGGCTGCAGAAAGGCTGCACCAGGAATATGGAGCAGTTTAATGAAGACTAACTCCTCCCTGGTGGGTCTCTGACAGGGGAGAGCTTGCAGCCACCACAGGCTCTCACACTGAGGGACTGCCCCGTCCTTCCAGCACCCTGGTACTGTGACTGGAAGTGATTTCTCACCACTGCACTCTGATCGGAAATTTTAAAAGCTTAGTCCCGGCGCAGCTTTCCTGGGTACCTCTGAAACATGAAACTGTTTATTTACTGAGCTGTTGCGACAGGTCAGAAAAGGTTTTCTCCTGTCAGACTGGGTTTGTGGACGAGAAGAGCTAATACTTTTGTCTCGGGGCACACTAGGCTGCAGTCAGAGCTCTCTGCGGAGCTCTGGGAGAAGCACTGCTCCAAGAGGACCTGTGCGTTTCATGTCAACTCCCTGCCACATTTACACACATGAAAAACATAGCTGTCATAGTGAGGTTTACAGCATTTGCTTCCTTTGCTCCAGCTGAATGCATGCTCTTATTAATGCAGATCTGTCACTTTTGCTCAGAGTATGATGGGTTTGGGAAATGATTAAAAGGGCATTGGTGCTATGAGAGATCTTACTGTGGGGAAAATGCCATCCTGATCCCCTGCTCACTCAGCTAAAGGTAGCATCAAAGCTGAGCTGTCACTTGACAGGTAAGAACTGGCAGGCAACATCCTTGTGCCAAGGCTAAAATTCACTGCTGCTAGACCAGGAGATATTTCCTAATGCCAAAATGATCTGTTGGTGTGGGGCAAGACACAACGGCTTTTGTTCCCTGCCAGTGTCTAGGAGAAGTGGCAGTCTCTGAGAAAAGGGCAGGTGTGGAGGTGTCAGCAGGAAAACAAGACAGATAAAAACGCTTTTTCTGGGACTTCCTTTTTGTTCCTGAATGAGGCTTGGATTTAGCAGTAAAACCCCAATTCCTTGGGCTCGTGTCATGTAATCTCACCAGTTTGATATCTGTGGCCCCAGACGGTTATCCTTAACCTTAGCTGAAGCCAGAAAATATCCCTTGCACAGTAAGATGGTAACAAACTGAAAAAGGACAAACGCTGTGAGGAATCTATACGCACCGAGACAAAAAGCAAATGAGTGTCTGAGCTAAACAAACCCATTACAGATGAATACGCGCCATAAACCGAGAGGTAAATTATCTTGCACTTTCTCCTGCACACCACACTGGGGAGAGGCAGTGAGGAGCTCCTGACACAGGATTGCCCCCTTTGCTTTCCCTCCCAGAAGCAGTTGTTTGAAGAGATTCATAGCACCATTTTCTGCCTATTTCAGGGGAAATTCTTCCATTTTTCCCATCCAAATAATTTTGAGTACATGTGTCTCTACAAGTCTCAGAATAGAAGTGTCTTGAGCATGAGCTTGTAACTGGCACGCACTTTATGCCCCAAATTATCTCCTGCACAGGAGGGTTACTGTGACAGGACATTGGCTCCAACATCACCACCTCAGGGGCCTGACACATTAAGACAAATCTAAATTATCTCGAGACATGTTCCTGATGAAGTGAAATACAGTGTGTTTGCCAACCCCAGCCCAGCAAAAGCCACCACGACATCCACGCCGTGCTGCTGAACATCTCACCTTGCAAAGCGGGGTGTCTGCAACCCCCTTTGGCCCCCGTAGCAGCCGCCCCCGCCAAGCCCTCACCAGGCTACACACAGACTGTCCCTGGGCACCGTCCCCGGGGCAGCGCGGCTGTTCTCACCTGCCGGAAGCCACTGCGCGTGTGTTGCAGGATTTTCAGGGCATAGTTGGATCGCTGGCCTTTGCTGTTGAATTCGATGTGGCCGGTGAGACCTTCCAATTCTACCTGTCCAAGAGAGAATGAGTTACAGCGCCCATCGAGGCAGTTCACCCCACTGCCTACAGCAGAGCCGGGGGTGACAGCCACTCACTCCACGCACCAGCCATCCGCCCTCCCAGCAGGTACAGCAACGCAATCTTCGTGTCTCAATCTTAATTGCTTTTGGAATCTGGCTGAGGTAACAAAGACACGTGGATGGGAGCAGGAGAATCAGCAGCGTGAAGTGCAGGGCTCCCTGAATTTCTCTGCTCCAGCTGCTTTGGAACAGCCACTTCCCTCCATCCCAAGGCTAACACCACATTGTTCTGTGCCAGGCACGAGCTCTTCACTGTGTCACACCAAATCTCTAGAGGGGGATTCCTCCACAAACCATTATGTGCTGTTTCAACAGCGTTGAGCCGGTGTTTAACACAAGAGCATGCTGCAAGGGAGCCAGGATGAGCGTCTCGCCTCGCTGTGCAGATTAACCACTGCTCACTTGCTGCTGGAGCACCTCTACAGTAACAAGGGCAAGCTACTGGGCCTCCTAGTAGCAGAGCCAAGGGAAGCTGAAAGATTTTGTTGTTTCTGACTAACGGTGAGATTTGAAGCAGGGTTCACATGCATGGACCAAAGTGGTATAAGGTTCAGGTTCAGCTGAGCCTTCCTTTGGGGGAAAAAAAGTGTCATGACATTTCAGTTGCACCCCAGGCTCAGAAAACACGCTCCTTCTGCATGGTAAAGTCCACCTCTGAGGAATCACATTGACAAACTCCAACTATTTCACAAGGCTGAAATTTCAGGGTCTGTTCTCATACCAGACCTAGGCCTGATCAGTTCCAGCAACCACACTTTGGGGTTAACGGAGCCCAAACCCCTTCATAGGGAAACTCGCATCTTGCCACTGAGCTCTAAGCAATTGTACCGCATGACCTTATATCAACTCAAGTTGACCCAAAACAGAGCTCAAATCATTTAGAAACATTCATACTTAAAAAAAAAAAAGCACTGAATTCCATTTTTTCTGCAGCAAAGCCTGAAAAATGGAGTTTCATGTCGTTCCAAGGCCAGTGATAAACCAGCCCTCAGATCTCCTCTCTTTTCACTCCCATTGCTACCTTCAAACAGACTGACACTCTGTGCTTGAGAACTGTGCCAGCACCAGCATGTACATACACGTCTTTTGCTTCCGGCTGTGACGAGCACTAACTCCTACCACTCCAGCAAACTTCAGTCCCTTCTCACCATTCTCAGGTAGTTCATCAGGCTGGTGCCGTGCTGCCAGATCTGGGCAGACCCACAGGACAGGGGCTTCACACCAATCTCCTGGCTCCGGTTTAGCTCCTGCACGGCAGTGACCACAGCATACACAGCATCGAAGAGCAGGGCAGAAGAGAGCTGTGGGGAAAAGGAAGAAAAACATCCAGAAGGGAAGACAAAAATTTGAGTCTCCTGCTGCACCCTCAGGACCTTGCAGCAAGCAGGAGCGCTCTATCCACAACCTCAGCGGGGGTCAGAAAGGAGCAAAATCCTTGGCCACCTCTGTGCAGACAAAGCACTGCTTGCCTACCATTCTGCTCCAGCAACAGCCTGCACCCCGTCTGCACCCATCCAAGGACAGGGAGACAAAAGCAACGGTACCCTGAACTGCTGTGACTGTGTAGGCATCACAGGCACAAGTGTAATCCCACTGCCAGCCTCCAGTCCCACGCCCAGTCTGTTATATTTTTCCTTCTCGCTTGCTTCCTTACTCTTTATGTCTCTGCCTGCTTGTTCCTCCGGGTTTCTTCCATCGTTAGCATCTTTCTACCTCTATTTGTCCCTGTCCCTTCCTGTTCTTTTCTATCTCAGATTTCTCAAGTAAGTAACCCTTTCTAATCAAGGTGTGGTTGTTTGGTGCTTTGGTGAACTCTAATCAGTCTGTTGGCCAGAGGGAACGCTCATGAGGGCATCAGGTTTGTGAAGTTCTTAAAATAGGCAGCTGCGCAAAATAAAGATCCTGTGCCTGCACCCACAGAAATAAAGATGACTCTGCTGCTTCAGTCTTCATTAGGCACCAGAAAGTCCTCCTCTGACCACTGCCTTGAAAGGCAGATCCACAAGAAATGAGATTTTGCTAGATCTGCTTCTCAAGCCAACGAGTCTTGGCTTTCAGACCCTGTAGAGACCATCTAGTCCCCTTCTACAGCCTCCAGTTTCCTGCTGGCTGTCACCTGCTCTGTAATGGCATTGCTGAAGCAATGTCCAGAATCACAGAGCTCATCACCTCTCCTTCTCATCTTTGCTTTGTTTGCTTTTAATCAGATTTCTTTGTCCATAAAGCCTTTCAAACCATGTTTTTCGCTCATGCACAACCGTTTTGATGTTTTTGATCTAGTTAATAATCAGCCATTTGCTCTCTCGTGTTCACTGTTGTGACTAAGATTTCCCTTTTAATTATTGTCACCTCCTGACTCTGCTGGAATTAAGCCGTTGCAGCTCATTACTATCAAGGCTACATCCTCATTTATACATATATCCTCAAGGCTATATCCTCATATAAATCCTCATGGTTACTTCCAAGAGCATCCTCTTACCATCCCAGATCCCAGCAATGGGTTCTGTCTCTAGCCTGGGGCTCCTCTCCCCCACCTTACCTTGTTTGCGACTTACAGCACTTCAGCAGTATCTGCATCCTCTATTCCTCCCAAAGCCTGATTAGGTTTATTCACTTCTGCCAGTGGCCCTGCAGGGACAGTCTCACCCAGTTCAATCATCCCAACAAACCTTTGGCTTCAACTGTGTTACTAATTTGAACAGAGCGAGCCAGACTTAACCCTGCTTGATCTTACTCAGATCAGTGTTAAGACCTCATTGACCACAATGGCCCAGGATTAGGCAGTTAACAAGCAGCACAAAACCTTAAAATGTACAAGCCAGCACAAGTTAAATGCATGATTCCAGCATAATGCTAGCAAAACCCCAAACACCAGCTCTAATGGCACCAGTAACCTCTCACTTTTCCAACCCTGGTACAGACTCAGATGTGCTCTGTCACATCCCTTCTGCACATACCAGTTTGATCTGTTATAGACAAATCGCACCTGCAGACTCTCCAGTGAGCACTGAGCAACTTGACTGGCATCTGTCAGTCTTGAATCTGACCTGTCTCCCATGCAACAGGCAGCAGCTTTGGTCATCTATTTTGAGAGCTTTCTGCTAACAATAAGGATTGCCTGACTCCAGAGCTATGAAGTTTTAGCAGAGCTATTTTGCAGGAGGTAAACTGTAGCACCAGAGGACCTGAGCAGCCTGAGGACACACAGGGAATTGGTGGCAGAATGGGTACAGAAATTGGACACTCTGTTTGCTATCCTGCCTCAGCTATGAGATACCACAGGACCCCTTGCAACGGCAAAAAGCCTCTCTCCTACACTTCTTCACTTCTATTCATGGGTAAGTCTGCTAAGGTTTTTTTTGTTTAGTATTCACTTCTGACCTAAAGATTCGCCTCCTGGGAAGCATTTTCCAGAGAGTCTTAAAGGAGCTGATATATCCTTCCTACCTTTCTTTTTTACCTTCAATACAAGTTCTTTTCCTCACAGGACTCCAGCCTCATTCCTCTCCAGCCCGTCCTGTCCTCAGCCCCTGTTCCATGAAGCTCTTTAGCATATACTCGATTTTAACTGTGGACCAAATCCCATTCAGGTTACAGGATACCATGCACAATTAGCAATTGCTTTCCTGAATCAGGAACCATATTAATACCAGTTGGCCAAACAAAACTGTTGTGAGAGCAAGTGCAATTCCTGTGACCCCAAAGTTTCACCATCTCATATCAAACCAGAATATTGGCCCAGCATTTTTAATTGTCTGTTGTTGGGTTTTCATTTCCATTTTCCCTGAGCAGTTAATGATCTCTTATTAGCTGCTGAGCAAGACACTTGTAGATCTCAGTGAAGCATTTGACATTATTGAATGGAATATTTTACTCCTTAGCCTCGAATAATTTGTTAGGATTTCTGGCAGCCCCCTTATGATTTCAAGCGATTTACAGACTGAGGAGGGGGTTGTCATACATAGCATCAAGTCCTCTTGGTAGGGAATGGGAATCCATGCTCTAAACATACCTCTTTCCTTTTTTTAAAAAAAAATCACAGCTTTCCTCAGAAGCACCACATTTCCATTCCTGATGCTGCTTATCACTTATGCCAGACATTCCCTGCCCCACTGGGCTCAAAATCAGGCTCTTATGCCAGCCTCTCAATTCTGTGGGCCCTGAAGCATAGCACCTGGATGCATGGGAGTGTGGCAACACAGCAACATGCAAGCAAACAGACCCACACACCTCCTTTTAAATGCCTACCTTGATTCCCTCTCCAATATCACCTCAACAGCCACCAGGACTCAGATCTAGGGAGGTTGACAACCTGCACTCTATTCCCTCCTCTCGCCCCTGGTATCAAAATGCTCTAAGGCACTCCATATAAGATGTGGAGTCCGGCTCCACTGCCACCTGAAACCCCGCCAGCAGTGCTGCCACGCTCCCGTTTGCCTCTCGCCTCAACCCAATGCAGCCTTTGCTCTGCTGCCCTGCACCACCGACCTAGTGGCCATCTGCCTCTGCCACTATTCACTCGGTAACTCATATAAAATAAATCATATTCAACACAGCAAGGTAATTTGGGATGCAGGCTGCGTGGAGGAAGCAGTTCACAATTACACAGAGTTGGAGTGCAGTGGCTCTTCTGGGTTTTTTGGTCTCTCGGGCTTTCATAGGTGGGCAAGTGTCTTCTTGCGGGGTTAACTGGGGCTAACAAGGTTAACAAAAGCTCACTGCTTCCAGCTACCTCCTGCAGCCTAGAAAATTCAGATGAGGACTGGGTCATTTTAGCACATTCTCTCCATGTCCCTGCAGGCTCACGTGAGTTAGTGGTGCGGCAAGTGAAGCTGCTTGACTTTGCACTGGAACAGATGCAGAGCAGCCACAGGCTCTCTCGTGCCTTGGGGCCATAACCTTCAGCAGAGGAGTGGAGAGAGAGCTGGAAGCAGTGTCTTTTCAGCTTCCTCTAGGCAGACTCAGTAAGGGGGAACCGTCACTGCTCCCATGTATATCGCCTCAACTTTCTTCATGTCGCATATAAAATCTCTCACTCCTTTTATGTTCTCATTTTAAACCACAGTTTTGTCACTCTGTCACAAAAAGCCAATTTCCCTGTTAACAAATTGATTCTCCTCCTTGCGTGCATTGTCTGATTTGTGCAGATCCCTGTTGTTTTTGTACTGCCTCTGCAATGTAAGAGCTCCTTAACAGGCTGCACGTGAAAGACTTGGTAAGCTCAGTGGTGGTCCTCCACTTGCAAGTTCATGGGTCTCGGGGGACTTCCTTCTATCCCTAAAGCCTAATTCTTGACAATGAAAGCTGCTGATAAAAATTGCCACTTTGACAGATGCCTCGTCAGAACAAGGCTCCAGAAAAGGGAGCAGATGGTGGGCTGGGCAGACGGGCTCTCTGCTCCATTCCCCTCAGCATGCTGCTCAGCTGCCCAAGGAGAGGCTGTACGGCAGAACTAAGCAGAGGTTGCAGGGTACAACCATGACACAAATGCCACGGAACAACTCACCACCTAGAAAGGGTCAAGAAACAGATCTCCAGTCCTCTCTAAGACAGCTAATGCTATCAGATGCCCTGCACCTCGGGAGCAGGGATGGTGCCTGAGCTCTAGCCTGGCACACTACAGCTCCTTGCTGGATGCAGCATACCTTCCCCCTAACAGCACATCTGCCCCTCTAGAAAATAACAGCAGGTTAAGCATAGCTGAGTGGAAGACCCCACTTTTTTTTTTATTGATGGAAATCTTCCATATAAAGGCCACGTTTAAAGGTAAACCGATATCCAGGGAAATGTGAACAGGTTTGGCTAGTCTGGATTTTGCCATGTGTTGCTTTTTTTCTTTTCTTCCTAAAACATTATCATCTGTATCTTTGCCCCCAAACATAACACAGAGAATTAAAACCATTAAAATCCTGTGAAATAGACTTTACAATCTGGATTTTATTCAGTGACATAAACACTTAATTACAAACATCTGTTTTAGCCTAAATTCTAATTACCTAATCTAGCCATCTGTAATTTGAATGATTTTCTCTGATTTCCTTTCTTTGCAATGTGATTAATGAGAATGGCATTAGAGCAAGCAGCTCCCTCCTCCTTAGATGCTTTCTCAGCTCTAGCAAGGAAGCCTTGGCATTTTGCAGCTCACAGAAAACCTCCACCCTGTCACTTCCAGCTGTTGAGCTTCCTTTTCTCTTTTTAGTATGAGCTATCCCACATGATATCTGTTTCCCTGGACTGGAAGGGGAATTTCCTACACAAAGAGATGCTCTCTGAGAGATGAGACTTGCCAGATTTCAACAGCAGAGACAATGCATGGCAAAATGGCACTGGATTTCCCTGTAGACACAGGAGAGGAAACGCATGCCCCTGCCTGGGAATATTTCACTTCACCTCTGCTTTGCATCTTTATCAACTGGGGCAAGGCACTTTTCTCATCACCTGGTACACAGCATATTGGCGATGGAAGCCTTGCTATGAACACAGTGCAAACCCTTGCATCCTCAGAAATAAATCATCTTTTGGTTTAAGACTCTATACTACGGCTCAGAACCGAACCTGTTCTCTAGTTGCGCTGTCGATGCCCTGACTCTGATATAATGGGAAAAGTCACTTCCCTTCCAAGCCCGAATTTCCCATTTGTCCACCAAGAGTAACACCCCATCCTGAGCAGCTGACCACCACCTAGCACAGGGGGGCTACCAGCACAGCCAAGAGCAGCCACACAGCAGGTGCTTGGGAAGCCACTGCAGCCTCCAGGAAGGTCCCCCCCGGGGACAGCAGGGCTGGAGCGGTTTAGATGAGGGCAATGTAGCGTGGCTGAGCCCACTCCCTCCAGACGTGCCCTCCCTGGTCCGGGAGGAAGCCTGTTGCATGGCTGATTACACTTTATGAATTAAAGTCAGCATCCAGCTGACTTAATATTACACTGATGGGTGATTTAGGCTCAGGCTCCCAAACCAAACAGCTCCATTCAGCTCTGAACTCCTTCACTCTTCCCAAAAGAAGTGCTGCAATGGGGCGTACTCTTGCATCCTGCCACCTACAGACTGTGCTGGTTGTTCAAGACAACACCGGGTAAGAAGGAGCAACGAGATCAGTGATTGATTTCCCCATCAGATCTGCTATTCTCCTGTTTCTACTGTCTTCTGTTTGTACTATTAGAAAGAAATTAAATTTTAATGCTTCCAAACAGTCCCTGCAACTGTCACCCAAATAGGAAGCTTCCTGGTAGCAATCCTATAGAGATTGAGAAGGGCAGACAGCAAGCTCACTGCAGACACCTCCACCCAAGAGGGATGGGAAGAGGGAGAGCAGGATGGTCCCAGGCACGTACTAACCATGGCCTGAGCTCCATGGTAAGCCAAGAGCATGTGGAGACAAAGGGCAGAAAGCTCTATATTTTTGCCTGCTTCAAATCACTTTGTAGCGATAATAAGGAGGTTTTCAGCAGTACACAGCTGCCTCAGCTTGTCAAGGGGACTCTGAGTTCATTAAAAAATGCTGCAAAGGGTTCCACTGATGGCACTTTCTCTCTCTCTCCCCTCCCCCAGATCCAGCCGTGGCCCCTTGCATCCCTGATTTGGCAAATCTGCTTTGCAAACCTGCCCAGTTATGAAGCGTCCCTAGGGAAGATTTCAGTGCTGATCTGCACACTCATCAGGGAGATGTTAGAGCTTGCAACGTAACACAGCCTCATGGCATCTGCCTAAGCCCAGCCCTTTCTATGCTATTTGCATCCAGACTCCCTCTTCCACAAGCCATTTTCCTAGAGGTGAAATACACAGGAACAAATTTCACAAGGGAAACACTGAATCAGGGCTGCATCATCCCCTGCATTCACATATAAATATAACTCAAATTAAGATTAGGCTTGGATTTAAAGCTGTACATCCATTCAAGCACAGACAAGCCCTTTAAAGCTCTATACCCATGTGGCTCCCCAAAGTCCCTTTGAGTGACCACAGGCTTTCGGGATCACTTCAGTATTCTCCAGATCAGGAGGCTCCCCTGTAAGTCACAGCTTGACACCCCAAGTCCTCTCCTACCTACCTAACTCAACTAAGGTGCTCTGGCTGGTTCATCCTTTTCCTGGACCACCATCTCCCCAGGAACAACCGCCACGAAAGTCAATCCATGCTACAGCAGTTCAGCAGCAGCCTGGTGACATGCCCAAGCTCTTTAGCACAGGGGTTACCTGGATTAAATAATTAGTCAATACCAAGTACCCATACATTTAAGACTAGAGTTTCTACCTCTGCATCGTCTTCATACTTGCTGCCAGGATAAGCCTGCAGCTCTTTTCACAAGGTTTTTCTCATGGTCTATAGCAGCTTCTGGCTCAGGAAGGCCATGGGCAATTGGAGTGAATTTTACTTACTGCTGGCCCAGTAAAAGGAGCGTGATCACAGTTCTCCTGCCAGGACTGGTTGAGGCTCTGGACAAATTCTTGGAAGAAAGCATGAGACTGGTTGAAAATGGAAAATCCCAGGATGTTGACTCTGTCATCCAGCAAGCTGTCCAGGCGCTGGAGGGAAAACTCCTAAAGCAGCCCAAAACAGAAAATGGGATTAGGGAAAAAAACAGGCATCAAAAGCTTCAACACCACTCAACAGCCTTGAAGAAAAGATGGGACCATGCAGCTACAAGAACCTGCATGTGAAACCTACTACCTCCAAATTGGGGCTGAAACCCACCCACTGGCTGGGTAAGGAAGAGCCTGGGTGCTAACCATGATTTGACTCAGTGCTCTGCCTGTCTCAGGCTTTTAATTAAGTTGTCAACCAAGTTCAGCGCTTTATTGACCAAGTTTCACAAAAAGACCAAAACCCTGCCAAAGCGGGTTCTGGGAACTTATAATTTCTGAGCTGTGGTTTCTGCCAACCATGCCCGAGTGTGGTATTATTCTTTGCAGCTTATAAACCAACTCTTCTGACAGGAGGTTCCCTGTAACATAGAGGTTACAGCACTGTCAGGGAGCTGGATGATATTTTTCAGATGAAGCCAGTAACCTGCTATATCTGGCCAGAGGAGGTCAGTTCTGTTGTGGGAAGTCCAGAGCACAGAGCTCCTGAGAAGATTTATACTTCCCAAACAACACTCTCTCCAAGGCACTCCCTGAAAAGATCCCTGCTGGGTTCACCATGAAAACACTGCTGTGCCTGGGTGTTGTGATGGCTGAGAGCCCCAGACAGTGCGAGCACACGGGGAACAGTTATCCATCCAAACCCAGGGCAGGAGGGATGCCCAGGCCACCACGAGCACCAGACTGCGGAGATGCATTTCTGAAGAGAAATTAATGTCCTTTCATTGCTATTCTTAAATTCCTCTGAGAGTGCACTGAACTGGACCCCAGCCTGAGCCGCAAACATCATCTGCTGAGTGATACTGCTCTACCACCACCATATCCGGTTCAGTGACACCAAGTTTAAGCTGTTAAATTAAATCAGTTCCTCCCCACAGGGCAACCCTGCACCGCTCCTTTCTGCCATCAGGTACCAGGAGGAGATGCCACTCACGGGTCATCCTAATGCCCTGTGGAGGGTGGGAGGGTGTTTTGACTGTGGGCTTTGGAATGGGGCCCAACCTTTTGCCTTTCTGAAGAGCAAAATGGTAAGATGTATAAAAATTACTGTATTTAAAAAAAAATAAAATAAAAAAAAAAAGGGCAAAAAGGGAGACCTCTATTTTGCTAATCACATCAGTGGAAGCAGTTACATGACAAAGCCAGCTTCCTGGAGAAGAGTCCAGCCCTCCTTGTCCTATTAGCAGGAAATAATGGTGCCTTCCTCACTAATTTCTCTTTTGCTAATTGCTAAAATGGAGTGAGAAGGTGGGAGTAATAGTTTCAGAAACTGCTGGATACCCATTCTCTTCCATCACTAATATGAATGTCTTTTGGCTCCGTGGGCTATGAGATTTCAGCAAGTCAAGTCATTTTTTATCTTCCCTGCGTATGCGTGCACGTAGGAACAATGTCTGTAAATCTCCAAAACATGGAGTTACAAGACTATTCCAGCACAGCAAACTCCCACGAGAATGTGATCAGACACAGGATTAAATGCATTTTGGACACAACCGCATTAATGTTAGGTAACATGAAATTGCCTGTGAACTATTGATTCATCTGAATGATATTATCCTCCTGCCTTCCTGACAGGTTATCCATTTACCCACGGCATCTTGTCAACCTGCACAACGAGGGCAGATGGCTAATGAGGGGACCTGGGCCCGAGGAGATCCTGGATGCAAGCAGAGCAGCAGGAGTTATGTTGAGCCCCTGCAAAATACTACCTCCCCCCAGCCAGAGCTGGGAGGCAAATTGTGCAGGACACAATGCGAACAGCTGCCCGACTGCCCTCTTGGCTTTGCTGTATGCAGAAGGAAAATGACATGTAAGGTACCAAAACACCCACACAGTCCCAGGCTTCAGTCTCAGGCCAGATCGCCCCAATCTCAAGGCAACTGAAATTAGTGCCTTTATTTATTATGCCTTTTCTCCCCTGAAAACGTTCCTAAGATTTTGAGGTTGCTCAGGTCGTGGCAGGTTTGTTATGCTCTACTCCTTAAATTAGCAATTACTGGGCAAGGGAATGAGTCCTGCTGGTGTCACTTCACATGGGGGAAACTGAGGCAGAGGTGTGATTTGCCTTGGTCACGCACCAGTGGCAAGGCTGAACCCAGGTTCCACTCTGCTTGGGCTGGCTGAGTGATGGGGTCAGCCTCAGTCTCCAGCTCGACTCCCTGCCCAGCTTTTGGGAGGGACCCGGGTGTTTAAATGTTAACAGCAGCTTTTTCCCACCTCCCATTAGTGTGGCTAGTCACTGCAAGCTTTGGTCTTTTTCCTAGGCAAACCTCCAGCTGCAGAAAACCTAATTTCTGTTATTGCCACGCTCATAAAGCATCCTCCTCTGCAACACATGGGGATTGCATGGCCTATATGTGACCCCTTGCCTGCCCCTTCCCTCTGCCCCAGCTCCAACCCTCTGCCTTTAAATGTTTTTCCATCAGACATGCACAAGAGCATTCTGTGGGCCCAGGTCAGGAACAAGCAAATGAGCCATGAGCTGCCTATGCAATGAGATGGAGATAAACCGTCCTTGGAGGACGCACTTCATTTGCAATGGGATAAGAGAGATTTGATGAGGTCAGGCTTACTATGGAGGGCAAAGGGGGGACAGCATCCAGATACTCCAGTAGCTGCCAGCTCAGCTTCTGTCCCTATTTGTTTTTTTTTCCTTTCCTACACAGTCACTCACCACGCTTGACATTTCCAAACCCCCGTTTTGCAAACACAAACTCATTTGCCATTCAAGGCCTGCACCACTCAGCTGATTTCCAGAGCGTGACACCCCATCCTTCAGCCCTGGTCCTACCTCCTGCCCTACCTTCCCACCGCAAGCGACAGCAAGAGGTGAGCACAGGCAGGAAAAGGGGTGGAAAATCCTGCTCTTGGAGATGATCTCAGATGGCTCCTCTCACCATTGCAAGTTTTAACGCATTTACCTTTCCAAAGATCAGACTGAGGTAGAGAAATACTGTTCATATCCGAGAAGCAAGGCTCAGACACGTGAATGGCTTTGTAGTGGGTGCACAGGGATTTGGTGTCAGATCCAAGGATTTCTCATTGAGATGCACCGAAGCTGACTTTGTCTAAGCTAGGAAAAATTTTAAACAGTCTGAGCACAACTATGGTACACATACATACCTGACCTTGCCTTGACTGCTAGACAAAGCCGGTGGGCCTAGTGCTTACAAGAGTAGTTTCACAGCTGCCTTCCCTCTCCTCATGTAGTTACTCTTCCTCATCTGCAGTGCTGGCTGGTGCTTTTGCAGGCCTTTCCAACGCAATAAGAGCAAGAGGCCATTAGGAAAATAACTCACACCTGTCAGCAGATTCTGTTTAAAGGGGTACTCCAAGCCCTGGTGCACCTTGTCCAAGCCTCCTCTGCCTGCACAAATACAGCTTCATAACCACATACTTTCAGGCAAGACCAGGGTACCTGGTGAACACAAGAGGGTGTGAATCAAAGAGATGGGTGAAAGAGCAGCTCCCTCATTACTGCCTATTCCACTGGCAATGATTTCTTCCCTTCCCTACACAGGAACAGTTGCAATAGTTGAGCAGTACTTGGCCCTCTGTCTCAGTCCAGCTCCTTCATGCCGACCAGTGCAACCTGAGGCACAGAAACCATCATCAAAAAAACCATGACAAGCCTAATTTCAGGTACACCAAATACTGGCTGTCTGAATTCCTTCCCCTCTTTCTGTGTGGTTTTTAAAGCACTAACCAAAAGTCAATATTCTGTTTCATGAGGTCTCAGAAAAAGTAGACCCTGAGGGTCTGCAGCCAATATTAATGAACTTTTACAGGAGAAAAATCCCCATGCTATGCTCAAATCACAGCAAATTCTGCAGCAGCACCAGGCAATTACAGTGTAGATTTTCTGACTTCTACTACAGGACTGCAACCACTAAATATGTGCTGTTAAATAACAACACTTAGCAATTCTATGGCACTCTATATTTTCAAAGTGCTAGGCACACATTAGCTAATTGAATACAAAGGGGTTCCCTGGGAGACAGCACTGGAGGAGTTATTAGCGGATGAAGTCACTCTTGGGTTTCTGTGCTTCGTGCAGCACTCGACCTGCATTCTCACTTTACAGCAGCAGACAAAACCTATGGAGTGACCCAAACATTTAGATCATTGGGAGAACCTGGCTAATAAAAGCCACACAGCCAAGCTCTGTAATTCACAATTTTTAAAGCCACGAGCATGGATTTTCTGGCGTCGCTAGCTGTGAGTTACGATCAGGAGACTTACAGGCTATAGTCTCCATTCCATTAGGAACATAAACCCATAAGGTACAAGCGTATTACTCAGTGCAAGCCTCTTGACTTGCACATTTGGATCGGACCTGGATCCTGACCAGGACTCGGCACCCACAGGCGCTTTCCCACCTCAGCCTGCCCGGCAATGGGGCTCCCACGATGCGGTTTCTAATGGAAATCCCGCTCCTGCCCTGCCCGTTTCACTCTGGATCTGTGCACTCTGCTCCACATCACAGCACAGCACCAGGTGAGTGTACAAAATCACTGCTGTCTCACCCCATTGGGACCCCTGTTAGGAAATTATTGTGCCCACAATACAGAGGAAACTGAGGCACAGAGCTAACAATGGCAAGTGATTAAAAACCTGATAGCACGATTCAGCCCAAGAGAGACGTGGATGAACAACATGCCTTACAGTGCAAAATATCAACATCAGCATTCACATTTAAGCATATATTTAATGAAGTATCCTCCCAAATCTGCATCTAAGTAATCCACTCCCAGGCAAAAAGAGACTGCACAAATGATGGCCAGGTCTTCCCTCACTACTGGCCCCATGGCCGCTGATCACACTTTCCCTCCCAAGTCCTGGAAGAGGTTGGAGACTTCTGCGTGGAAAGGACCAGTCAAGCAGAGGATTATTAGTGTCATAGCAGCCTGCCTGATAAGTAAATGTTTTTTAAAGTGTGGAGTTGTGAACCCCCGAGA